GTCATTAATATAATTGACAAGAAGGTGAAGCTCCTTCTGTGGATGACATTTCTATAGGTTCCATCTTACAGCTCAAAACAGTGTGAATGTTGTTCATAAACACGCCATTTTAAAACCATCTGAAGTTGTACAGGGCGTATCAATAAAAACGCAACAATTAGTTATCTCGTAAAATCATAAAACTAGTGATGACTACATCAATTTAATTCAATTTACCATAAAGCCACTTCTCTCCTCTTTGCAATGATATGTCATTCATTCACATGTGGTAATGGTTGGGTGAGAAATCCTTCCATTTGCACAGTGGGTCAAAATCGGCTCTGCACCAAGTTTTAGATATTGCAAAAATCATTACAAGGGCTAAGTGCCAATGGAAGTTCCCATGACTTGAATTGTTGTAACTTTTTCTTTTGGAGCTATCTCAGGAGCATCTGTGCTCACCATTCCTCCACCAGATATCGCAAAACTTCGAGAAAGAATTGCCCATGGGCTGCTTTTCTCTGCTTTAACCCACAGATGACTCAGGGCTGAACCATGCATGACATGGACAGATGAGCGCATCTTTATGTGCAAGGAAGTGGTGGCAATTTGGAGGGGTTATAGGATGTATTTTTGCAAGAGTATGAGTATGAACACTTTACTGTCTATGCCACACCTGTCACACCTTCATCCAATAGCCCCTATGTCCCTTGTACTGACTTTTGCAATGTTTAAAACTTAGGTTTGAGCTTAATTTTGCCCCACTTAGCAAAATTAATGATTATTCGGCCAGTCATGACTCCCTGTGAATGAATGATATTCCATTGCAAAGAGGAGTAATTTGGCTTTTTGGTACATTGAATGAAAAGGATGCAGTCAGCATTGGTTTTATGTTTTCTTGCAAAATTGCATCGGGCTCCGTACACTGACTTTTGCGATGTTTATAACTTGGTCTAAAGCTAATTTTGGCCCACTTTGCAAATGGAATGATTACGCGCCCAACCATGACCAAATATCAATGAATGATATATCATTCTAAAGAGGAGACACGTGGCTTTATAGTGCATTGAGTGAAATCAATGCTGTTATCACTGGTTTTAAGCTTTTCCGAGATAACAATCTGTTGCATTTTTTTGATACGCACTGTATAGTAGTCTGTTTCATTTGGGAGTAGCATCATACAGGAATAGGCTGACAATGGTAAAGTCAGATACCGTTGTCACAAATGGCGGACACAACTATCGCTTCAATTCTTTAATCACTTGGTCCTCATTTCATGGGATTCTATCATCGCTAATTCTGTGCATGTACTAAGCTCTTTTGATGATGTATCATTATGAAATCCCAATTTCGATCAAATTAGGTCGTGAACTGCATAATATAGCGTCTGAATTTGATATAATTTCCATAAGAAGATGAAGCTCTCTTTTAAACAAGCAAAATCAGCTTTTGGAAAGGGAACTGAAGTTCAGTTAAAACCACCCAGTTGGGATAAAACAAACAATGTTTTTAGAATTTGGGAGATCCTGTTTTGCAGCAATTAATATTATAACTGAACTTCATAACCACCTTGAAACCCCATTATAACCAGCTGCTGGATCAATAACAAAATTTGTTTTTTAAGAAACACTGTCATTTATCTGAAGCTGTTATGAATCTTTTAGTCTCACCTGGTCATTTTTACTTTATAAATATGTGTTATTTCAACTTTTTGAATTCCCACTGGAGAAGAAAAGTAAATATGATCTGAACTTATCACACTGATATATTGAATTGTTATAACTGTTTATATTCGACACCATTCCACCTAAATTTTACCCTGGGGCATTATAGCCTAGAACTAGTACTATTGAAAGAAACTCTCTTAAAGAATATTACAAAGGGTATCTGAACTGTGATGACAACTGCCTAATTATATAATTATATTCACATAATTTTCTCTCATTGTGTTACATACAGGGTGGTCTAAAAAAGTGAACATTACATTACATTACAGGAGTTCCTTCATATTTTCACATGTTGTAGAGGATGTCTAAAATTTTTGTTCGTACCATATATTTTTAGTAGTTTTGAAATTTGCAGAAATTACAAGCCCAAACCAAACATCACTGAAAATCGATAAAATGTGAACTTCATTATTTGCGATTCTTCAACCCTTCAACAATATTCCTGTAGATATGTTTTTAGCTGCAGCCTGAAAAACCTAATGTTTTCTGACTTTGTTTGGTTTTGAATCCCGCACATTATGGTGTAAACATTAGCATCCTGCCTATGTTAGTTGCAAAGTTATATAAGTTTCCAAAACATCTTCCAGTAAAATCGTAACATACCCCTATATGGTCTTAAAATGTCAATATCTTCATTAATCATGGACTGATTCTCATGAAATATGGCTCAAAACATTACTTATTAGACTTGCTTTTAATTTTTGTAAGATATTATATGAAGGGCTTCTCAGATTTCGGGTCAGAGGGGGTAACTTAAATGCCCCCCTCAAACCGTTTGTGTAGGTAACATGTCCCTTCACTGCTGAATGGTTCAAACTGTTTCAAAATGAAGTGTGAAATGTGTTTTCTGCCCAAATAGTGTCCTATTTATCATATGGCATGGTTTAAACTTATATCTCTCACTGTAAGCTTTTTTATGATCATCCAATGTGTTTCAACTTTTGCTTTGAATCACATTGGTAAAAGTTTACACAACATCTAATTTTAGGCATGTTTGTTTAAGTCTTGTAATTTCTTCAAAATTCAAGACGGAGAATAATTATGGCATCAACAAAAATTTTAGACCTTTCTCTACATGATGTGATAATATGAGTCAAGGGTTGCAAGGGTTCGCTTTTTTGGACCACCCTGTATATTGCGCCTTTTCCCAATGGATCTCAGAGTTTATTCAAGTCATGTTCTGTTTGTGAATGATATATGTTATGGCTTTGTGATACAAATCATCCACAAGGAAGTAGGTTATTACCAGTTTCATAACCAGGTGGCTAATTCGGGTGAGATAACATGGCAGGTATATTAGAAGCTTCCCTTAACTTGTATATTCATCAGTTTTAGTAGTTCAATTTTCATATAACCCTTATAAATATGATAGTTATTATACAAATGAATTATGTCTAGTGAAACTAAATAATATCTGTCTAATGAAAGAAAAAATATTTCACTTTTTGTGATTTTATAACATGGGGTCTATGGGAAATCTCCTCGAGTTAGAAGTCAAATTGTTGATAAACAGTTTTTAAAACCACATTTGTAATTTTTTTACATGTAAATTTTGAATATATCACTTTGACTGAATTTTGAATATTTAATTATGTGAATCAAGATTATTTCTACTCGCATCTAGTCTATTGTTTACTGTTAACAGTGACGACAGTTTCACTCACTACTAAGGACATGTCTATAATGATTATTTACAAAGTGTCTTTTTTAAATATTTGGTTAGATATTTACTGATATAACTTACGTTTTTGAAAAGAAAATCTATGCTCTATCTCTGATAATGAAATCTGCTATAAGTAAACTTGTGTGCAATTGAATTAACCTTTAAGAGTCCTATTTTGCAATTTATGAAAGCATTATCTGTTTTATTGTTCATGTATTTTGCTCCTTGAATCTGCTATTTTTGATCAGGCCTCCTAGACTTTCACCAACGCGAACACCAGCTCTGACCTTGTGAATTACGTTCCTTGCACTCAAACCACGAGGAAATGGTGGTGCACGACTAAAGATTTCATATTCGTGATGTGAGAACTGTGGTTCGAGTGCACGGAACGTAGTTCGAGAGGTCAGAACTGATGTTCGCGTTGGTGGAAGTCTAGGAGGACTGATCATTGACATCATGATAAACCATGACACCTCATTTCTTCTTAGCCCTGAGATCATGTTTCAGGTGAAACAGAAAGATGCTATGAGTATCAGAATGGATCATTGAATGCGTAACAATTTGAAATTTGGAAAAACATGATTCCCTTATTTAACCTACCCTTTGCATTCGTACAACTTTACTTCTTAAAAGAGTGCTTCGTCTTCGACTTTCTATATGGTCATTTCCTCTGACATCACCGCTAATGAGCACATATTTAGCATGTGTTCCTTCCACTTCGCTTATTGGTAACCCTACTATCACACCAAACTAGTTCTCACTACGTTCTCGGAAACGGGCTTCAACGGTGTACGAACGGACTGGACGTACTTAGAACCGTTTGGGGTCTATTTACAAACTTCATCGAACGTACTCGAACGGGTAGGTCCTCTAGAACTAACATGCTCAAAATGTTCTCTTGGTCGTCAAAACTGGTTTTAAACTGTGTGCGAACGGAATGAACGTAGCTACAACGTTCTACGGTCTGTTTACGAACTTCATGGACTTTCCCGGACAGGGAATGTGATTTAGAATTTTGAATCTATTCAAAATTCGATGGCGACCATACCTTTCTGTAATCAGGTCATGATGACCTTCTAGACTAAGGAACGCGTTATACAACGTTGCACACCGACGTGGTGCGAACTGAACGAACTGCGAATGAGGACTGTTTATGAACGAAGTAGCTAATTATTTTAGACATATTTCCCGACTACAGCCAGATTGAGCCCGTTTTACGACGTTTTCGTAGGACTGGCAAGAACGGGTAAGAACTAGTTTGGTGTGATAGGGGGGTTAAGAAATGGTCATGGTGGTAGATTTGAAATGATTTATTACCCAGGCTGTCACAGGCACCAATCTTTGGGGTGAGGCTGCTAAACTGTAATTTTTTAGTATATACTAGGCAGAGGGTAGTTTATAACTAGACTCTGCATGCAGGGTATATATAACCTTGTAACGAAAGTAAAAATAAGAATAAGTAGAGGATATTCTATGATTATATCCATGAATGGCTATGATATCCACGTGAACGAATGTAGGATGCTCTTTTATTCTATAGATAAGGGGTCCTAAATGATGCAAGTGGTAATCGTTGAATAGGACCACATTTGAAGACATAATCTATCATAACGCTATCATTCTATTTTCAGACCCGTACTCTATATGAAGAGGCATTTCTGCAGAATAACAGACTTGAGAATTGCCTCCATGTTATGGGATTGCACCCTCAGTATCTTGACTGTTTCCTCAAGACACAAAACTACATATTAAAGGAAGATGGCCCTTTACCATATGACTACAGGCATTACATAGCCATGATGGTAAGTTATTCATGTAAACTATATATATTTGAGTAATGTGACATTTGAAGGTCTGCTGATCTACATAAAAGTCACTTTGTAGTAGAGATATCCAGTCATTTGATTCTGATACAAAGACCCAGTACAATGTTTAACACTTTTTGAAGCACTTGTGTTTTAAACTAATTAATGTATCAGTTTCTATGGTACTCAATAATATAAGCCTAGACACACCAAACTTCAATGAAGTTTTTTATAGATTTCCCCTCCCATGTAAAATAATGAACTTTACATGATGTAAAGTGATGAATTAAAGTGACCTGCCATGTTAATGGATGGTATAGACTCTTAGATGAATTTGTTATACTGTAATTTGGTGGGAGATATTTAAGTATCATAAATCTAAAAGCATCTTTGCTAAAAACAGTAAAATATTAGTCATGAACTTTTTTATTCCTTGGCAGATTGCTTTGATTGGTCTATACAAAATCTGGCGATCTTACAAGGTTGTTATTGTCAAATAGAGTAGCAAGTTATATATAATGTCATAAATCAACATACTGTACTTTTTTTGTGTGTGGAACTTCTTTTTACTTCATCTCAAAAAGAACCTTATATTAAAATAGTTTTTCTTATTAAAATAAAAACCCATTTCTTTTTTTAAACCAAGCCATATTCTAAAAATAAAGCCTATTTTAGAAAAAATCATATTTTTGAGCTTTATTTTTGACTGCCAAGATACTTCTTGCACATTCAAATGAATTTTGAGTTCAAAGTAAAAGCCCAGGAGATGTATCACATACAGGCTTATCAATCTCTTTGACAAGCTGGCCTTGTGGGGGACTGAAACTTAAAGCCTCTTCATTACAAAAATAATTGTGGTCATGATCTCCATATAAAACAAGAGAGAAATAGAGTGAAAAACGTTTATTAATCATAATGTTCATAAGTCCATCTATCACATTGTTCATACATCATAATGTTCATGAGTTCATTATCACATTGTTCATACATCATAATGTTCACGAGTTCATTATCATATTGTTCATACATCATAATGTTCACGAGTTCATTATCATATTGTTCATACATCATAATGTTCATGAGTTCATTATCACATTGTTCATACATCATAATGTTCACGAGTTCATTATCACATTGTTCATACATCATAATGTTCACGAGTTCATTATCATATTGTTCATACATCATAATGTTCACGAGTTCATTATCATATTGTTCATACATCATAATGTTCATGAGTTCATTATTATATTGTTCATACATCATAATGTTCATGAGTTCATTATCACATTGTTCATACATCATAATGTTCACTTCATTATCATATTGTTCATACATCATAATGTTCACGAGTTCATTATCACATTGTTCATACATCATAATGTTCACTTCATTATCATATTGTTCATACATCATAATGTTCACGAGTTCATTATCATATTGTTCATACATCATAATGTTCATGAGTTCATTATTATATTGTTCATACATCATAATGTTCATGAGTTCATTATCATATTGTTCATATATCATAATGTTCATGAGTTCATTATTATATTGTTCATACATCATAATGTTCATGAGTTCATTATCATATTGTTCATACATCATAATGTTCATGACTTCATTATCATATTGTTCATACATCATAATGTTCATGAGTTCATTATCATAGTTCATACATCATAATGTTTTTAAGTTCATGTAGAAAAATTTAGAAAAAACTGTATCTAGATTTTTTTGTGTTTTAGTTATAATTATTTTTTGTTTGTAATTAAACCTAACTTTTTTATGATGATACATAGTTGCTTCATTGTCAAGAATTTCTGTAACATATGGATCCCTTAAATCAAATCTTGCTTTTGCTTTTGCTTTTTCATTCCAAATAGAGTGAAATGAGGGGAATTTCAAAGAGATGTAATTATTGTAATTATATAAATATGTACTTATTTGAAGTGTCTCAAAATGAACAGTCTGTCGGGGCGAAAGTTAAAAGTTCACAGATGGGACAAGAAGGAGCAGGTTTCACTAAATAGAAATATATTTACTACCCAAATTTTTGAAGCTCAAATGAATGATTAGTGTTTTAATGAGTTTGAATGAGATTTTCTAGAGAGTGGATACCATGCTGACTGCTAATGTACTGTCAAATTGTTCATAGAATATAGTTCGGAGTAGGGATACTAGCGGTTACCGTTGGTTATTTGGTTTCCTGTATAAAAATACCTTCTCTCCCTTTCCGGCCCGTTGCAGCGCCATCTAGTGTTTGATAAATGAATCAATGTTTATTCTTGATAGGGTAGGTACTAATCTATCAGGAAATATTACAAGTTTGGTTAGAAACAGAATTTTTAGAGATGGCGGAGTGATTTGCGAGACTATGTAAAGCAGACTAACTTTCTGAAACAGGTAGCTTTACCGTGGTAGCTCTCTCCAGATTCAGTTATCTCAAAAACGGTGTGGTCACCGTATCATTATTTTGTAACGGCAAGTTAGACAAGACTCCAATGAACACTAGGCACTGTTTCGCTGAGCTAGATCTGTGCCCATGAATATATTATGACATGAAACGTTATAATGGTCCTCAATGGGATTTTTAACTGCAATCTTGACCCATAGTATTATTATTCCATTGAATTGGTGGTTCAACAATCTGACAATGGGTCTACCCAATATTTGCAATTGAGGTTTTGTTGATTTTGGATGTGTTTGAAGTTAAAAAGCTTTTGTAGAATTAGATTAACCAACAAACAATTGTTAAGTGATAAACTGAGTGCAAACACCTTGTTTCACCTTGTTTCTCAAAAGAAGTTGAGTTTTTTAACCTTTAATGTTTTTTACACTTTGAAAATTTTGAAAGGTGGTATATAGAAAGCTATTTTATCATAAGTATTTGTATAATACAAAATACAATAACCCACATGTATTTAAAAGTCTGTAAACTATTTATGTTTTAACAATAGGTTTATATAACAAGTATTAAAGATTAGCCCTTGCATCAATTTCATTTTTACTTCTAAATATTCATATAATTGTCATTTTAATGAATATAGAATTTGTTATTAATACAGATATAATGATATTGGGCTATGTAATTTTCATGAAAAACAAATAAGTGGTGGGGATTTTAAGAGTTTCATCATATCTCCAAACTTAATGTCTAATAGGATCTCACTTAGGAAATCTGATGATAAATCTCAATGTCAACCAAGTTGAAATACCTTTGGACAATTGAACAATATAACTATGTGAACTTTTATCTCCAATAATCACCTTAAAGAAATAACTTCACATGTCAGACAAATCACATTTAAAGTATAAAAGTTGCATTATGTAATTTCTGTGATTCTTTGTTTGTTGTCCCAGTGAATATGACATTGATCTTGGATAAGGAACTTTTATATAACTTGGAATTGATTTTGTCTTTCAAGTAAAGAAACTTACAGAGCTGCATTAATCCAGAAAATGTTTTTTTAAATAGTGAGAGAAAGACTAGCTACCAATCTAAATGTTTTTTTTTTATTATTTACTTATTTATTATCTAAGTTTGATGCTATGTGTGATCATTTCATACTATTTTACATAGCTTAACTCATTTCATACTATTTTACACAGCTTAACTCATTTCATACTATTTTACATAGCTTAACTCATTTCATACTATTTTACATAGCTTAACTCATTTCATACTATTTTACATTGAGCAATCCCCATCATTAATTACATTTATCTCATTTTAACAGGACCCTCAACTACTCATAATTGGAATCTACATGTAAAATTACATTTAGAAATGTGGTTTTGAAAAGAGTTTATCAACTTTGAAAATTTAATTTTCTTTGAAAATGTGACTTCTAGGTCGGGGAGATTCCCCATAGAGCCCATGTTGTAAAACCACAAAAAGTGAAATATCTTTTCTTGTGTTGGGCAGATGATATTTTCTTTAACTGGACATATTTTAATTTGTATAACTATCAGATACATAAAGGTAATATGAAAAGTGAACCATTAAAACTGATGCATATTCAAGTTTAAGGGAATTTTGTAATACCCTGCCATGTTAATTCCCCCGAATCAGCCACCTGGTGGCGAAACTGGTAACTACCTACTCGCATCTGAGTAATTGACATCCATTTCATTGCTTCAAGTCTATATTGCCAAGTGTAAAAACTGGTTGCCATTGGCAGTCAGGCAGCTATGAGTTTGGAACACTGCATTGAGTCTCATTCGCATGCTCTGCAGTCTTCCCTGCATTCTGACAACTGATGGGAGCTACGCGAATGAAGATGGCACATTCTAACTTTGACTTTTACATGTGTTTCAGGCTGCAGGTAGACACCAGTCATCCTATTTAATCAATCTTCAAAAAACAGAGTTTCTATTGCAAGGTGGCGATGAAAATTGGCTGAAAGGGATTGAATTCATCCCACAGAAATTAAGAGATTTATATGAACTCAATAAGCTTTTGGCTCATAGACCATGGCTGATAAATCGTCAACATATAGAGGTGAGTCTCACTTTTACATGTACTTGTGCATGTTTATATATATAATCTAGTTAGATTTTACTTCATTATATGTATTCCTAGTATATTATTGGGAAATACAATCTGAAAGGTATACAGCATTTTTGAAAACTGAATATTTATAGATTTAATTACCTTTTTTGTTTCTGATTTGTCTTGTTAGTTTTTCAGTCTGCAAAACCACAAGAGGTGGTGCAAAATGATTCTTTTTGGGGGGGGGGCTGCTTAGTATATATTTGAATCATTCTATGTGGAAGATAATATCAATATTATTGACTCTAACATTACAATGGCAAATATGTAAAGTCTATATGTGACTTCATCTGCATTATGTCAATGTGTTTTGCTTTTTCAGAAACTCTTAAAGACAGGTAAAGACAGTTGGTCGTTATCTGAGTTAACACATGCCATAGTGCTTCTAGTCCATTTCCACGCCCTTTCTAGCTTTGTCTACGGTTGTGGAATCAACCCTGAGATCAACCATGAGTCTGGCCATACGTACCGCCCACCTTCTGTTACCAGCAGTGACTCAACCCTGAACGAAAACAATGGTGGCTTTAATTCTGCATCTAGTTCCCCAAATACCGTAAGTTTACAAATTGTTTCCTTATTTCCTAATATCCCAGGCTCCCTCCATACTCCACTCAGCTGATTTGTTATGAAATTGTGATACTGAAGTAGCATGTTGGTTGTATTTGATATTTTTTCTAGAATAACAACATGAACACAATTCTAATTTGGGTTTCTCTGTTATTTACTAACCACAATTGGGGCTTCACAAAATCTAGCAATACAAAGGAGATTCATTTCACAATTTGAACTTCTGCATCTATTTTTAACAATATTAAGAAGGTTCAATCCACAAATAGTTCTTCTGATTCTATTTAGCAATATAAAGAAGGTCTGTTCCACAATTGAGGCTTCTGCGTAATATAAAGACTACTTATAATTCTAGGCTTCTGAGATGGAAGGTGGCATTGAAGCTTTAATGGAAAGAATGAAAAAGTTGTCTGAGGATTCTGAGGACACAACTGAAGAGGAACTCATTAAGAGATTCCAGAAAGTGGAAAGCCAAAGTGCTGAACGTAAGTCAATTACGTATTTCCTCCACATTTAACTCCATTATACATTAGTTTGGTCCATCCTATCACTCACTTGGATATTGTTTTTGTTGGGTGGCTGTTTGTTTCCCATTGTTGTAACTCACAGGGAAATGGGGAAATTCCCTTCTTAAATTCGATGTCTGCATTTATCAACATATTTTAAATCTGTCATAATTTAACTGATTATTTTTATAACAGCCATCTGTATTATAATTATTACTTATTCTTGGATTTAATTATGTATGAAGTCAAATATCATTTATTGACCTCATTTTAATGACAAAAAAGGAGCAAAAGTCCTATTTCATCAGATTTGACCCGATATTTTATGATAACATTTCATTATTAAAGTCATGTTGACTTTATTTGACATGCATAAGTGTAAAGTTAAAATCAATGTCTCAAGTTTCCTCAAGGACTGATAAAAAGTCCATCAATTTTGTTTATTGCATCAGACGATTTCTGTGAGTCATAAAACAGAATGATGTCATTTCGAGAATGCATCTCATTGGTTGGTTCCCCAAACTTCCTATCAGGTTGATCCTTTTCTAAATAAAACCACAAAATCATGATTACTCATGTGCCTTTGCATGATTAGACAGCCACTGAATCCACATTTTACGAAAGGACATGTCAGACTGACCTGGTACCACTACCGCCTGATTGTCTCATATTAAGCAAATATTTTCCCTCAGTCTAGAGGAAGTCAAAGTATTATTTCATATCTTTCATACAATAAGTTAAATGATCTCAAAGTATAGACAAACATGTAATGATAAATGTCAACTCCACCTCTATTTATGTTTTGTTCATGTTCGTACAAATTCAAATCTTCACAGCTAAGAATTACATTTTTGGAATTTTGTAACATTTTTCATTGGTCTTTCAGTTAAGTCGCCAAATGATGCACCAACTCTACGCAGTGACATTATGCAGTATGTAGAGGATCCTGATTTCACCTACCAAGATTTTGCCAAACGGGGTTCACTTCAAGAAATACCAACATTTAGAGCGCAGGATTATTCCTGGGAGGAGCAAGGCTTTTCATTGGCTAACCGACTTTACGCAGATATTGGGACACTTCTGGATAATAAGTTTGCCACAACTTATGAGTTAACCTACAATACGTAAGTTTGAGGTCTACTGTGTGAAGTATTTTTTTATGTATGTTTGTCCTTTATTAATAATTTCTGTGAGAGAGGGTGTGTAATCATTTCAGACATACTGTGTTCTCTCTAATGAGTGTAGAGTTTCAATGAGTGCACATGCAACCTTTATGAGAATATGTTCTCAAGAAAACAAGTTTAAAAAATCTATTTGAAGTATTTGCATAATAAGATATCAATTGATGATTATATTTAAGGCAGAGAAAGAAATACACGAGCTCTAGAGCTATATGTAAAAACCTTAGTGATAACAACTAAAATAAAAAGATATCGGCAATGTTTTTTTCTAAGTTTTTTTTATTTTATGTCAGCTTATATTTACAATCGTCAATATTTTAACTCTACATTTCAATTTGTGGGAGCTTATTGCATGTTCATTGGAGAGAATATGGTACTTGCTGAATCAGAATTGAAGAATCAGCTGGCCAATATTGAAATTGACTAGGTCTGTGCCAGTGCTTGACTAATGCCTTGGTCACATTTGCTCCGATCCATCGGCCCTGCCGATTGAGTGTTTTGTTCAAATTTGTATTCAATTTTGAACAAAACACTCAATCTGCCAGGTGCTGTAGTGAAAATCGTTGCAAATGTGACCAATGTATTACACTCACAGCTTCATATAGTTTTAATGTTGTTTCTTAAAGGGTGATGCATATCGTTTAGCAAATCGAACGCTTGTGTTGGTGTTGCTCACCGTTTAGTATAAATGGCCCAATCCCGGAATAATACTCAAGGATTCACAGGCTGGACGTTGTTGTGTCAACACCTCTAACTGTTATATAGCATTAGGATATTATAGATCGTCACACATTTATATAAGCAAGATTTTTATTTTGACAAATCAATTTCACATTTATGGGTGAAGTTTCAGGATCTTCTATTTGTGTATAATAAGGAAAATTGACATCTAAATTTCCCCATAATGTATTACTACACAGCTTGGCATATGAAATATTAGTTACCTATAACATTTAATTCATCATCACAATATTAAAGGCAGAATCAGATCTATAGGGGGTGACAAAATTACAAGCAACATGCATAATTGATCTACCAATCTATTCCTTACAATATCAAATACAATATCTCCCAAAAGATTCACGATATGTTATAAATTGGTGAAGTTATTAATGATTCAAAGTGCGAAAATGGGTGAAAAATGTTTAAATTCTCCCAAATAATAAGAATGGTAACCATTCTTATAGAAAAATAATACATTATTGTAAAAATCTTTTGTTTTCCTTGAATAAAGTATGCACTTTTGTGATTTTTATTAGAAAATAGACATGACAAGGAATGACATGAGCCAAAAATATTCTAAAATTGAAACAATTTTTTGTTTAGCCTGCTCGCTATCTCTGATTCTCTCTTTAAGCCAAGCAATGATCAATGTTTAGCTTGACCCGAGGATTTCTAGCATTTATTCCATTAAAAAGAATATTTCAATTTCCAGAATGGGAGACAATGAAAACGTTGACACATCAGCATTTCGTCGATCAATATGGCACTACATACACTGCATGTTTGGCATTCGGCATGATGACTACGATTATGCTGAAATCAACCAATTACTGGAGAGAAGCTTGAAGGCTTATATTAAAACTGTAACGTGTTACCCAGAACGTGTCACGAAGAAGGATTATCAGAATTTTATGAAGGAGTTCAAAGACTCAGAGAAGGTATTAAGAAATCATGAGTGACCTACTTCAAATCATATAACTACATGTGTGCATCTGGGTGGGCACCACATAAATCTTGTCATCAAAATTTGAAAATCTCAAATTGAATACAATTTAAATTAAATTAGTACAGCTTTAAGATGGTGTCCAAATGTTGAACTTCTCAGGTTAATCTACTTGGTGTTTTGTTCTTAAAGTGTGATATTTATCAGTATGTCTTGTTTTTAATGATTTTCTTTGTTGTTGAAAGTGCCAGTTTCTTTTAGCATTCTATTTTATATTTGAATGTTACAAGTCTCATGTGTATAAATTGATAGTTCAAATATGAAGTGAAATGTCATGGTGATATTTACAGATTATAAAATCTGATTATTTCAGGTGCATGTAAACCTAATGCTGCTGGAAGCCAGAATGCAAGCAGAACTTTTGTATGCTTTGCGGGCTATTATGCGCTATATGACATAAAACACAAACCTGATGGAGCCATTACCCACAATGCAGTAGAAGCACCGGAGCTATGAAATAGCGAACTAGGTGTTTTGTTAACCATACGATCGATCGAGATCAGTCTGTTTTTGTTGCCATTTAGCAAGCCAGGATATTTACGTGTAGACTTGCAATTTATGCGAAATTAAAATGGCTGCCACATTTGTGCTTGTTGTGCTCAGTGATCTCATTGTCATGCATTGCTGGAACCACTTAACATGAAGAGGGACACATCGCCAGTAGCAGAGCATCGCCTCTGCATTGATCTTATGAGAGGAGCTTATATGTAGGTTCATGTCGGCAGTAGAACCTGTCACATAATCAAATCCTACATATAAGAAGCAGTTCATCTTCTACATGGAACATTTGAATGGGAATGTCCAATTGACTTCAAAATGTTGTTATGTTGAATTGGTGCTAAGAAATATATTAAAGTAGAAAGACTGATCCAAAAAGACAGCTTCAACATGTCACATGACTACATAGCAGGTGAAGTGTAAAATTCAACCAGTGGCCCTGGAAAGTAAAAGCTAGTAGAGTGAGGAATGTACATAGATCATTCTAAGCGTTTATCTGTGATAAAAAAGAAGGTGGAGTGAGTTAACAAAATGTCATGTCGGTCATCTTTTTCAGAAGAAGTGTCAATGATTTGACTTTATTAAAATTCTCATTTATTTGAGAACTTTATTTATGTCAGAAATGCATGGCTGGAATCATATTTTGAGTTAAGAAAGAAAATTCAACAATTCATAAAGTTCGGAGTGGCCTATAAAATTTTCCATAATGTAAATTATGAATGTTTTGTTTGGTTTTAAGCATCCATCATTTAATACACTCTTAGTCCGCATCATTATTATCGAATTGTACAGTGCTGTTCACAGTTGTACAGTGCTGTTTTAAACCAAAACAGCACAATGCTTGAACAGTATGATTTGGAACTTTTGGTTATTCAGTAAGACTTGACCAAAGTAAGTAAAAGCTCTTATGAAATCCGATGTAGCTACAACTTTCAGGATCAAAGCGATTGAATCTTAATTAACAGTTGTCAGTTTAAACGCAGATTTGTGAATTCATCAACTGTTTTGATATCATGAAATTGAATTATACGGATTGAATGAAACAACATCAAGCGACAGTGTCAACATATTTTGAAACATGTGTTCCATCGAATCCATCCATTCAGTCTATTGAATGCTTTCATAAACATCCATTTTTAAACTTCCGAACAAAGTATTGAAACATCTGAACCAACCCATGTTGGTAATGTGGGAACTTTGTAGTATATTTTCTTGCAGAGAATGTTTTGTAGTTTGCTAATTGAAGAAACCGAATCAGTTCCAAACAACCAAACAGTATTATATTGAAAACTGAGGAGAATTGTTTATTTATACTTTTCAAGCGTAACAGCTTTTGTAATTATGATTGTTTAATTAATTTAGCTATTACCTATCTGCTTAGATTTAGAGAGTTATGAGAGTTGATTCTATAGTTTGTAACATCTAATATAATATAATAGACAGTTCATGCTGTAGGTTGCTCACACATTGAATCACATCACATATTAAGGACAATTTTAATTTAAATAGACAATTTGTTTACAATTTATGGTACTGATGATGATTACCTTTTTATTGTGTGTATTATAACAGGAAAGTAAAAGAACAGTTTGCAATTAAATATCTGCTGACAAATGATGGTCTTTGTGACAATAATGATTTATTATCTTTAATTTGACAATAAACTCCATGTTTTCTCCGGTTTTCATACAACACAAGTTGAAAATCTCTGACAATGATGGTATCATTCCATTGAGCGATTTTCTAACATGCTTGATGTAAAATATTTATTGGTGTTAAGATTTGCTAGGAAATATCTCAGAAAATATTGTGAATTTGAAACCATCATTTTCTCCAATTTGAAAAAGCGACTAATCTGATATATGCTCAAATAGAACAGATTCTAGCCAGTTTCTCAAATAAAACAGAAAAGTTGCACTTCAATTCATATGACACAAATGGAGTTTGTATTTTCTGTTTTTCTATGTGCATGTATAAGCACACATATTATTTTCTAGTGATAGGAAAAGGCATTATGGATGAAGTGAGTGCGGTGAGTGAGGATCAAGTACTTTACATAAATAAAAACAGAAAAACTATATGTAATACGTGTACATATAAGTGTAACGCAATAATTGTATATGTTGTGCTCCATTATATTTTTGGTACCAGAGACTGAGATATATTATAGTCTATTGTTTAAAGCACATCTAAAACTTTGAGTCATGCTAATTTTTTTAAAGATAAATGAAGTAGGTTGTCTTTCCTGTGTAAGTGTAGAGACAATGGATACACTTAAGTAGTTTAGCTTTGTAAATACAGTATGGATAGCCAACTAAATTATTCTTGGTGGTCATTTGATTCTTCACTTTTCTTAGTTCAGAATGGGGTTAATATTCCATGCAAATTCGTCTCATTGGGCCATATTTTTGAGAAATCGAATGACCTCCATGGAATCAGTTGTGCGTCCAATTTGGAATTTATATATAGAGATCTGGAAATGAAGCATGTGCTTAAGTTTAGCATAAAATACAACCAAAAAACAAGAAAAAAGTAGGATTTAAAAGCTTAAAAATGTTCTGATGACTATTATTGGTATATTGTAATGTTTCAGTGTTTAGTATACAGAAGACAAATCACCTGATGCAATGACAACATGATAAAGTAACAATAGTTTGAAATTACACTGTATTTTGTAAGTTTGCTCTTCCTGTATTGTCACAAATAAGTATAATTGTTTTTTCAATTGTGCTAATGCCTACAAAATATTGAAGGGCCAAGTGGCCAGACTATATGGGTGTCAATCAGAACTATCAAGATAGTTCTTATCCTTTGGTGTGAATAATTGTCACATCCTTGTATTCAAAATAATAAGCATTTCATAATTTGTAAGATTCATCATGAAGTGCAGGTTCTTCCTGTGTGAATTCAGTATTATTATTATCCCAATGAGGCTTTACTCCACCTGTATCTCCTTTCCACAAGGTTGCCTCAAACATTCCACCAAACTTAATTATAATCTAGCTTGAAACAACCTCAGGATTTTAATCTTCACTTAGGCACACAACCCAGGATTGTTTTCATTTTAAATTAAATATGGCTGTTCTAAAACTTGCAATAAGGGAAGTTAACCTAAAAGTTTTATTAATCTTCCGAATGAATTGCTCCCCCTGTAGGACAGCCGCTGATTCCAGAGGGAAGTGTGTCTTAAGTGTTTTGGCATTTCGTTGAACTGGTTGTGAAGTGATATTTATTAACTTTTAATATAAGGCGTCAGTAATATAAACATGGAAGTTGAGTGCATGAATTAGTTATAACGTGGTCCAATGAAACCAGCCCTTCAAGGCATCATTGCCCTTCAAGACAGCATTGCCCTTCAAGACAGCATTGCCCTTCAAGGCAGCATTGCCCTTCAAGACAGCATTGCCCTTCAAGGCATCATTGCCCTTCAAGACAGCATTGCCCTTCAAGACAGCATTGCCCGTTGCTAATCTCAGCATATCTGGAATTTAACAATGCCTCATTATGTCACCACAAAAAGTGGTTCATTATTGTTATAGTCTCAGCTTTTTTCTGGCTGGTGTTTGGTGTCTGTAACAAATGGCAGGTGGTGACATTTTATTTCATATGCATGTATTCAGATATTTTGAAGCATGTCACAGTATATAAGGCCTTTCCCATTTTATATAGGAATGTTGACAGTTATAAATGACGATCCCTAGAGGTTACAGCTAAGCTTCATTATTAACACTAATTAATATTCTTTAAAATGCAGCTTATTTTGTCAAGATCGTAGATTACGTAATTTATAATCTCGATGTACACTTAGTCAATGATTTTATGCTATTATACTCATATGTCAAGTATACTCTACAAATTCTGTTCAGAAAATCTCACGACAGTCATGTTTTTTCCCTGCAGTTCCATCTTAAGTCACATTTATTTGCTAAACATTGACCTTGTAGTTCAAAGTGTGAGCAGACATTGAAGCAATGCTTTTTAGCCACAGTTTGTCAGTGATTCAAGTCACAACTGTAGTTCTTAAGGTGGACAGACAATACTACTCGCTATTTCTATGAGGAAATGTTCTTTATTTTATGGGATCTACTAGTTCAGGGAGTAGATTGACAAGCAATCATTTGAGAATATGAAAAAATATGACTGAAGTGAGATGATTAAAACAGCAAGTCAATCTGCAAGCATTACACCATGGAGTTTAAATATTTTCTGCCAAAAATATGAAATAATGGTCAAAATGTTTCTTGCTCAATACTTCTGGAATCAAAGATGTACAAGTGGAAATGCAATATTACACCAGGAATTCAAGTACATGTATGTGATTCATTTAGATTTTATTTTTTCAGAGAAAACAAATATTATGATCATTATGAATATTTTGGCTGGGAGTGTAACTGGAATGTAAAATAGGTGAAGTTTGTTACCTTTGATATGTTTATATATCATTCATATGAATATGTTAATAGAGTATTCAAATAGACATTTTCTAATAAAAATGTGATACTTTAATTTAAAAAAATGATGTGATTTCTCTTTTTTTATTGATTCCCTATCACATACTCCAGTATTCAATATATACCATAATATGTCCATACCAAGAAATTAAACAATGTTTTTGAGGATGTGTTTCAAAGTCAGTAGATATAGGTCAATATACAGGGTGGGCCAAAAAAACGCCACTTTTTTTCAAGACACTACAACTTTTTTATTTTCCAACCTACATACCCCAAATTTTGCAGTTATATAGTGCCAAGGGTTCTTAGTAATAATATGATGTAACAAGTCCTTCACATTGGATTATATTTGATCTAAAAGGGTAGTTCAATTGGTCCGCCACCCTAATTGATGATAAATTTTAGTTTAAGTCGCCTTGCTGATATTGCAGTGTCAATGAAATGTTAGCTAAGTTTTTTCAACCTGTCTTAATCGCCAGCTTTAGTTGAGCAATTTTCTAGATTGGATGCCTTCATACAATCTCCTGGAGACCTTCCAATACCCTATACTCACTGGGGTTTGCATCAGGGCTATTAGCTTGGCGATCATCAGGCCGTATCAGTTCAGGAACATTTTGCAAATTATGCTTATTTCTCATGGCACACTACATGTTTAAGTGAGACGCTGGTGACATATCTTATTCAAGTAAAAGTGTATAATTCATGATCAGTGGCTAGATAACATCCTCAAGTTTCATTTGGTATGCAAATTATGATTTAATATCAAAAATTAAAAAAGTTATAGCATTTTGAAAAAAAAGTGGCATTTTTTTTGGCCCACCCTGTATGTTTTGTCTTTCATGCCAATATTCTTCATTAATCATGATACAAATTGATATCCTTGGCCTCTTAGAAGAAGGATATGATATTTAGGTTACTCATATTCAGGTTACTAATGTGTCATTGAGTAGATATCCTGACCATGATCCTTTATATGAATTTGAACTGCTGATTGGGTCTCAAGTTTTTGGGACAACCAGTCTTATACAAATCATGACTGTTATCACTTGTCAGATGCAGTGACAATTTCAAACCACTGTCTTAGTGCATCACTCAGAGTAACAGGCAGCGAGTTAATGTCTCTCAGAATGATATAGAACGGGAATGGAAAATGGTCCATATATGGCGTTATCTGGGGCAGCTGTCCACCTTTGAATATTGGCACTTTGATATCCAGAATAGAATCCTGAAATAGAAGATTGCATGCTTATGAGATCTGGAATAACTTGAGATAACAAAGATGAAACAAATGATACTGGTTGAAATCTGTAGCTCTGTATCATTGTATCATTTTTTATTCAACTTATTATTAATTATAGAGAGGTTAAGCTACACATATTTAACAAAACTTGAACGTGAACTTCAATGCGTTCCCAGAAAATTGATGTCAGATTTGTTTATTTTGTGTTTGTCAGCATGAAGTTTACAGGTTTTTACCTGTAGATTATCATATTGTTATCCCACGAACGAAGTTCGGAGGGATATTGTGAATGCCTTCCATCCATTTTGTTCATACGTGGTATGTGAATACTACAGTATGGCCACCATTGACATGTTTGTGTCTGCGATTTTGTTGAAATTTTATATGTGCCTACTTAGAAGCATATTACACTTTCTGATGGCTATAGTAAGCTATATACTTCGTCTGTAAAAATGTCAGCCATGGCTGTTCAATGGGATTTGCTACGCTTTGGCATTGCTGTTGCACATTGGTGCAATTTACAGACGCGTAATCAACAAAGCATGAACATGAACTTCAATGCGCACACAGAAAAAAGATTAGTCTACTTTCTTCAGGTAAGCGTGAAAGCAAAAATAAAACAAAAATTTATTCGACTGATTGCATTTGAACATAAGCCCAATGGACACAGTCCTAAGTGCTAACCATATAGCCACGGCACTTAGTGACAGTCAGCACATAAATATATCTCCACGTTCACTGACATGGTTTCAGACGTGTAGCTTAACAGAAAATTTTCGTAAACGTATACTTGAGCGTGAACTTACGCGTTCAGGTTCACGGTCTGCATTTGAACGTGTAGCTTAACCTCTCTAGTAGTTAAAAATTGAAACTTATCCCTGAGGCTGCATTCCTAAATTCATATTACTACATCTTGATTCTGACTTGCATCTCTCATGTTTTAACAATTACAAAATACAAACCTTGTTTTCCGGATTGTCTAAGATAACAAACACTAGAAAGACATTAGCTTGTCGAGCCTGCCTCACTGCTGATTGGACTATTTCCATGCCTTCTGTAAACAAGCCACGTCCATCAGATATGACCAATAGGAGTTGAGAAACATCTGGGTGTAGCACGCCCCTTTGCCTATTTCTCGCATTCACCATGATTGATGTGATCTGGTCAAGCAGCAGAGCAATTTTAGTCTTTTTCTGCTCAAATGTAAACTGACGTAGAATACCAGCACCTGATTGGTTGGAAAACTGTTCATTAAATGGATGCAGCAATTGGACTGTCTCACCAAAACTACAAATACCAAGTTCACCAGACTCCAACAAAGATAAAGCATTTGATATGACAGCAAGTGACTCAAAGGCCAACTGTCTAGAATGGTTGTCATCCATACTAGAAGAATCATCAATAGCTAACATAATCTGATACTGCCGTTTACTAGGCTTAGTCCTTCTTAGCCAAATTTTATCCTTTCTAAACTGGCTAGCAATATAAGGAATAACTTTCCTCATATTCAGTCGTTTTCCAGTGCGATAATCTCCACGTAATTTTGTAGCCTGTGATGGTTCCAGAATGAGGCGAAGTTGCTCACAAAGTTCCTGTGACAATGATGAAGTGACAGCTTCATATTTTAGCCATGCTTCTTGGGCTTCAAGCTCCTGAAAGTATGAACAAGTTTTCAGTATTATCATACAGTAATATACATCATACATCAATATTTCATTAACAACATAGTTTAGTTAGTTATGCTGAAAACATATGTAAATAATATTGTGTCACTATATCATGACATTAAAAAGAAATGGTACATTTTAGAGTCTGATACTCTGGCGCAGTTTTCAATAGCTTCTACTCCTAGCGTTATTGGGCTTCAAATAGAAGTGAAGGTTACTCGCAAATGATATATCCATTGCATGGAGTAAGTAATTTTCTTTGATATAATGAAACATGAGTTAAAAAATAAATTGTGAAGTACAAATCTTTCGATACCAGCCTGTGGCTGAGAACATATTCTCATAACTTACCTCTTGTTTAGTAGTGGATTGACGCCAAGATTGAAGCTGTTGCTCAAGGTCTTTCCTTAGCTGCTCAACATCTAATTCTATGTCTCCCTGAAACGCAAAATCACTCATGTAAAATTGTATGGAGAACATTCTCTTTAAAAAACAAAGTATGAGTTCACAAGAAAACAGCAACCCCACTGAGTAGCAAATCCCACCAAACAAAACAGGTTTTAATAAAAATAGTATCTTGGGTACTGGGTTCACATGGCTAAAATGGCAGAAAAAACAGATATAATTTTTTGTAACAAAATTATTTCATGCAACTACTCTTTACAGTGACATGACTCTTTACAATGCAAGACACCTAAAATTATTCGTAAAGCTAGGAAATGGGCCAAAAGTGAATTTCACGAGACAAAAATGACTACCATTTTGAAAATAGGCGAGCTTTTGAACCAGGAGTCAGAGGGGAGTTTTTTGTATTGATGTTGAACAAATATAACTTTAAACGGGAATCCTATCAACAGAGGTTTTAAGGCAAATAGTCCAAAATTGGATTTTGCGATACAGATGGACAAGTCAATGTTAACTAAAATGGCTGAAAATAAAAAAACAAATATAATTTTTTGCCGATTTTTGTAACAAAATTATTTTATACAACTAGTGTTTACAGTGAGATGGCTTTGTACAAAGCAGGACACCTGAAATTATTTGTAAAGCTAGGAAATAGGCCAAAAGTGAATTTTGCAAGACAAAAATGGCGACCATTTTGAAAATAGGTGAGCTTTTGCACCAGGAGTCATGGGGGAGTTTTTTGTCTTGATGTTGAACAAAAATAAACTTAAAACCGGAATCCTATCAACACAGGTTTTAACGCAAATGGTCCAAAAGTGAATTTCGCGAGACAACGGCGGCCATTTTGTAATTAGGCGAACTTTTGAACCAGGAGTCATAGGGGGGTTTTCTATATTGCTTTTGAACAAAAATAAATCAAAATGGGAATCCTATCGACAGAGGTTTTTAAACAGGCCAATTGTTGATAGACAGACAGACATACAGACGGACGGAGGGATGGACGGACAGACAGAGGGACCTGAATCGATCAACTGGCATTTGAGTCATCGCCCTGACACATGAACAAATGGGCAAACAAACAGATTGGCTTTTCTATATCCCCTCGTTCATTTGGATAAATATAATTCAGATTCAGCATGGAATATGTAAACAACAACAACAATCTTAACTAGATAATGGCAACTCCGCGGAGTAGCAAATCCCAACGAACAAAATATCAATTACCGAATTCCAATCAATTATAATCATTACTTTGGTTAAAATTGAAAAATTTAGATTTTAGAATTGCGAATTCCTGCAAAGCAGCCATTTTGAATTTTCTGAGGTACAAATCTGAAAAAAAAATAGCATAATTTTGATCTACTCCAAAATTCCTTCAATTTGAGTATAATATAGCCATACTTTGAAGGGATCGAAAAATTATTGCGAAATCGTACATTAGACGGCCATTTTGAATTTTACGAGGCTCGAATCAGAAAAAAGATACAATATTTGCAATCTACTCTTAATTGCCTTTCATTTGAGTATAATAAAGCTATACTTCAGGAAGATCTAAAAATTAGCGAAAATTTCTGTTTTCCTGACCCCCCATACACAGCCCCTGGGAGTCAGGATGAAATACACGGAATATATGTGAAAAAGATAGATGTTGCGAATATACTAGCAAAATTTCAAACAATAATATTAATTACTTTGGTTTAGAATGAAAAATTTATGATTTTTGCGAAAAAGTCCCGTCATTTTTAAAGCGGCGGCCATCTTGAAAAAATTTTTTCTTGCGTAAAACTATTCATCAATATACATCTTCCCACCAAATATGAAGAAAATCCGTCTACTAATATTTGAGTTATCTTCCGGACGGACGGACGGACGGACTGACTGACGGACTGACGGACTGACGGACGGAGGGCTTCACTATATCCCTACCGAACTTCGTTCGTTGGGATAATTAAGATGAACAAATCAGTATATCAATGCATTTCCTATGGACATCTTCTCATGGGGCTCACTCTGTAGAAAGATGATGTCTGATGTTTGAGAAGTACAAATGACTCACCCCATGAAGTGTCTCCAACTGAGTATGTATTGTACTCTCTATACTCCTGGGAACCATTTGGGTATCCACTCTTTCACCATCTGTATTTATCTTTTCATCCCTCCCATCAGTCTCCTCATCATCACCAGCTCCCTGATTCTCCATGAGCTTCCTCTGTAGGGAGGCTGATGGTTTTCTCTCGTTCACATCATCAACAGAAATATCCTATACAAGGCAAAATATATCAGCCAATGAACAAAATTCAGTTTAATCTTTTTTCATCATAAGTACAAAAAATAATTTATTATGTATGCGTATTGTTCAACTTTTTGATGTTGATGAGTTTATGTTGTACAACAACATTTTACATTTCAAAATGTAATAAAGTTAAGTCACATATTTAATATAGATAGTCTGATTTTGTTGCATACAAAAAGCAGATTTGGATTTTTAACAAATGATTTCATGAAGAGAGTTATGAATATCATGGGATAAAAAGCTTATTTACTGGTAGAGATTGAATATGGGTTTATTCCTCATAACAATATGATATTTCAAATAACTCAAGTTCATTTACTTCAGAGAACTACAACAATTGTAATAATTATTTTACTTTTTGAAACGTGGAAAAATAAATTATTATGATTCTCTGAAGAAAATAAACTTGAGTTATTTAATGTAAACATGTACCAGAGAGATGAATCTACACAGAAATATGATATTTCCCCCTGGTGAGGGCCCTCGGGATATACCATATTGTCCCTCTAAATAAAATCCATATTGAATCCCTTCCAGTAAATAATGTCTATTCATTTCATATATATCACTGTCATACTCCCCACTCTCTTATTGGTCTATGCCATACATGTGACCAAACAATTAGACATATTTATTGGATCTCAGGTGATACACCTTGCTAGAATCATTGAAAGATGAACAGGTATGCACCTCAATAGTATGAAATATTTGTATGCTATTCACCGGGGGTGTCTAATTTTATAACCATAACCACAGTGAATGTTGCTAGACCTTCATGACGATCATACCGATGCAAGCTTGACAGTGATATGTCAAATATTAGTAGTACCTTTTCAGGTGCTATATTGTTATCATCCACATTTTCCTCATCCTCACTCTCGTAATGATCTGCCATTGGCTGTTGTTGATCATCAGTAGCAACATCCATTGTTTGAGTGTCATAATGAGACTCAGAGTCCTTTATGTGTTCATAGAGGCCTGCTTCTTCTGCTTTCTGGATATATAATAACATAAAGATGAACTGATTAATGGGCCTGAAAATTATACTGTATTATTATCAAGCTAACTCTTATTAGGAATTCATCGAGTTATAACAATATCACACTAAACCAAACTAGACTCTCAACCACTTTCCAGTCCCACCAAAAAGTCGTAAAACATGCTAAATTTGGATGTGGCCGGAAAAATGTCTAAAATAATTGGTTACTTCTTTCATAAAGAGTCTCAATATGTCTATCTCATTCGCAGTTAGTTCAGATCGCATCATGCACAATGTCGTTAACGCGTCCCAACCAGGATCAAAGTAGAGCAATTATGTTCATAGTCAAGTAGGTCATATTGTTTGAAGTATGTAGTCACACAATCATATTTCAGAATGGTATGATCGCCACCAAATTTTGAAATGGTTCAAAATTCTAAATCATCTTCCTGTCCGAGCAAATCCATGAAGTTCGTAAATAAGTAGACCGTTGAAGGTTGCAGCTACATTTATTCTGTTCTCACATGGTTTGAAGAATGCTAGATTGGTTTGATAAAGCTACATGTATTTTCGCTAACTCATTCATAAGTGGTCTTTAATACGTCCATCTCATTTTTATTCCATCTGCAGTACGTTGCTACCAAGTTTGGGTTGGGCAAAATAGTGCGTTCATCTTGTGTACACAATGGATCAACATGTTGGCAATTAGTTTTACCTCATTCTAAATACATCCCAATATGTTATTGAATTATCCACCATTAACAAGGCATTAACATGACAAAATGTCACCACCTTGTTGCTTACAATATGATGAGTTCCATCTTAGACAGATTTGAATTTCTTAAAACCTGTAGATGATTTTGAAAAAATAAATTGGCCAATTTGAAGCAATTTATACAAAGACCTTTTTTGGCCCAGAGAAGGTCATTGAAGATGGAAGCACAAATCTTAAGTCGGATTTGAACTTCTGAGAACTTGACGATTTTGAAAAAAATTGTCAATTTGAAGCAAGATGAAAAAGACCTTTTTGATCTTGAGAATGTCATTGAAGGTCAAATCTTTTTTTGACCTTGAGAATGTCATTGAAGGTCAAATCTATAGTCAGATTTGAACTAGTGAGAACTTACAGATGATTTTGAAAAAAAGATTGGTCAACTTAAAGCAAGTTGAAAAAATACATTTTTGACCTTATTTTGATCTTGGAAAGGTCAATGAAGGTCACATCTCGAATCTCAAGTCAGATTTGAACTTCTAATAACTTGAAGATGATTTTGAAAAAATATTTGGTCAGTTTGAAGCAAGTTGAAAAAATACCTTTTAGGCTTTTTTTGATCTTGAGAAGGTCAAATTTTAAGTCAGATTTGAACTTCTGATAACTTGTAGATGATTTTGAAAAAAATCTCTAATCTAAAGTCAGATTCGAACTTCTGATAACTTGTAGATGATTTGAAAAAAAAATTGGTCAATTTAAAGCAAGTTGAAAAAGACCTTCTTGACCTTTAAAAGGTCATTGAGGTCAACTCTACTATATAAAGTCAGATTTGAACTTCTGGAAACATGTGGATGATTTTGAAAAAAATTGAAGTCAGTCTAAAGAGTATTTGTCAAGTTATTGAAAGTTGTAAGAATTTGTTAAAGACGTTGATCGCCAATCACCAACCGCCGATCGCTGATCACCAACCGCCAAGTTACATATGACTGAGCAATGTTGTAATATGTCCCTAGTAGGATTGAAATATGACAGGTCTGTTCGAAAAATGGCTGGCTTGTCTTGGGTACATTGTCACTTGTTCTGATTTCAGAATGAAGTGTCCACCAGAAAGAGTTGAGCATGCTCAGTCTAAGTTTTGGATGATCTACCCGTTTGAGTATGTTCATGAAGTTTGTAAAATGACCCCAAATGGTTCAAAGTTTGCCCAATCTGTTTACACACAGTTTAAGCCAGTTTACAATAATATATTAAGAACTATATTGGTGTGATAGTAGGGTATAACATCAGCCAAATAAGAAGACTTGAGTGGTTTTGATAAATGTCAGGGAGCATGTGTGAATGGCTGAGTAGCATATTCATGAGAGAATATGAGTTGTCAGGTACATTTCTGAGTGATTATGTGACTAGTCTACCTGTTCTTGTTGCTTTGCTTCGTTTTTGCTATCAACTGTCTTCAGTCTCTTTTTCACTTGCTCATCAGTGGATCCAAGGCTGCGGTCTTTTTCTGCTGTCCCTTAAATGGTACATCCAGACATTTCATATTCAGTACATGTAAAAGATACACTTGAAATATTAGCTAGAAACATGACTTTCAGCCATAAAGTGGTGGCCGCCATATGAAATACATGTATTTTGGCAAAATTTCTAAACATTATTGGTAACCTATAAACTTCCTTGCCTGTACAATTGCAATCAATGCAATACTTTTAGATTTAGGACACAAAAATTGATATTTCAATATAAAAGAGGCAGCCTGATTTTAATGTTTGTGACATACAGCTTAGTTATCAACATTTCTTTTTGTAGGTTAACCCTATCTTGGGAAAACAGCAATATCATGGAGTACTATAGCAAAATTTCTTTATTTTACCTGGTTTACGTTTAGATGGTTGTTGGTTGGCATCAGCACCACCTTTAGATACAACTTGTGAGTCATGCCCTTCATGTCCCTCAGCTTGTTCATGCTCTGAGACCCCAGTGCCATCTTTCTGTAATGACATGAGTAGCAATGTCGCATAATATTTCACCCTGATAGAATGTCATACGCCTTATATAGCAAAAGATAGTTTTGCTATTGTTCAAGCATTAACGCTGTCTGTGTTTTTTCTACACTTGAAACCAATTAACTCTGGCTTTTTCATCATTACCCTTATTCATCACTCATTTCTCACACATTTGATGTTGAATTTTGACTCAACAGAGCAGCACATTGAACTGACTCAATAGAGCATTTCATTGAACTGACTCAACATAGCATTTCATTGAACTGACTCAACAGAGCATTAAATTGAACTGACTCAACATAGCATTTCATTGAACTGACTCAAGAGAGCATTACTTTGAAGTGACTGAACAGAGCATTACAATCAACTGACTCAACAGAGCATTACATTGAGCTGACTCAACAGAGCATTACATTGAACTGACTTAACAGAGCATTACTTTGAATTGACTCAATAGAGCATTACATTGAACTGACTCAACAGAGCATTACAATCAACTGACTCAACAGAGCATTACTTTGAACTGACTCAATAGAGCATTACATTGAACTGACTCAACATAGCATTACATTGACATGGCTCAACAGAGCATTACTTTGAACTGACTCAACAAAGTATTAAATTGAACTGACTCAATAGAGCATTACATTGAACTGACTCAACAAAGCATTACTTTCAACTGACTCAAAAAAGCATTACATTGAACTGACTCAATAGAGCATTACATTGACATGACTCAACAGAGCATTACTTTGAACTGACTCAATAGAGCATTTCATTGAACTGACTCAACAGAGCATTAAATTGAACTGACTCAACAAAGCATTACATTGAACTGACTCAATAGAGCATTACATTGAACTGACTCAATAGAGCATTACACTGAACTGACTCAACATAGCATTACATTGAACTGACTCAACATAGCATTAAATTGAAGTGACTCAACAAAGCATTACATTGAACTGACTCAATAGAGCATTTCATTGAACTGACTCAACAGAGCATTAAATTGAACTGACTCAACAAAGCATTACATTGAACTGACTCAATAGAGCATTACATTGAACTGGCTCAATATAGCATTACATTGAACTGACTCAATAGAGCATTTCATTGAACTGACTCAACAGAGCATTAAATTGAACTGACTCAACAGAGCATTACATTGAACTGACTCAATAGACCATTACATTGATAAGACAGGTTGAAATGATTATAAGCAATAAACATGATACATTAAAATCCTACCTCCTCCTGTGTATTATCTGACTGGCCAGCAGCATCATGTGAGCTATCACTTTGTTCAACATTCTGGCTGGTGTGCTTGGTTTTATCATATGATTCTGCAGCTTCAATAGACTCATCGTTCTTCTCATCTTCTGTGGGTTTCTCATCTTCTTTGTTTAATTCATCATCTTCCTTCTTGAAAAACACAAATACTGTATAATTAAACTCTTGTAGTGCACTGTAGTATTGTAGATTGAACTTGTGTGCACTGAACTTTTGTGCATTACTCTCTTGGCCGAAACACTATGCATCCTCTTTTTTAATTTACCTAAGATCAGGATTAATCCTATTTTATTTTTACTCCATGTTTTTCGGTTAAAAGATCTAATTTGTTCTCTGCTTGATGTACCCCTTTATGCTCATCTATCTGAACTCTTTGCTCATGAATATATGCATTTTGAAACATTGTGAAACAAGAATAACTCATGTCATTTTTAACATTTCTCGACTGGAATAACCAAGCAGGAGTATTGTCTAAATTTTGGATGTTTTAAATGGACAGAAGGACAAACATGGATGGTCAATCAGATAGCTTTTCTCTATTCTTCTGGAAGAAAATTCATTTGATTGGATAACTTATGCTTAATAATACAAACTTCCCAACCTGTGGATCAATTCTTGATTCATTCCCATCTTTGCCCCCTTCATCTTCTGCACTGGTTTCCATGGTAACCTCTTCACTTGGAGGTCTTTCTGTGGTTTCTTGCTCTGGAGGCTCCACTGGGGATTCCTGCTCTGGACCCTTGGAGAAAATGAAATATTTAATAAATTCTGTGTACTATATATAAGAATAGAAATATGACTTTTTTAAATAGCAATACTCTTCAAAGATATAGGAATACAACATTATTATTATTCACATTTGTTATGATTACCTGATACATGTTTGTGAAACTAAATGAATTGATGAATACAAATACTTGATTTACATTTTCATCAGTTTCATCTGACTGTTTAACTTCATCAGGATTGTCTGTGTCCATTGGTTCCTCTTCTCCCTCCTGGCTGGCACCTTCCTCTTTCATGACATCAATGTCATGGGGGGTTTCTTCTTTAAATATATTACATCCATTATAAAGTAGTATTGACTATCTGATAACTACCCTGTATGTTATGTATGATCTAAAATCTGAGTGGTGAAACATAAGTAACTTTTCATAGAGTTATTACATAATCACACTACCCTACCACGTGACCACGTTTAAAAGGGAAACAGGGTACAGCTAAGTTGCAAATGGAGGACGTGGGTTTAATTCCATATTTCTGAACGTAAAATACATTTTACATTTATTTCTAGTATTCTACCAGACATAGAATTGATTCATCGAGCAGTTTGTAGAATATTGTTGGCAATAAACCACTATAGGCAAAGATAGATAATAGTGGGCGCAGGGAAGCAAAACTCAATGCAATACACGATACATTTCAGTAAATCTATCAACGTACAGGTACTGGATGAGCATAATGTAAAAGTGGTTTTGAAAAGTAGCAAATTTCTCTTTATGTAGGTTTTTTGTGGTTTATTATTCTACATTGATTCTGAAACTATTGGTGTCTAGTTTTTCAGCATTTTGGAAATATGCAGATTTATACCCCCCTGGTGTTATTTTAAGGGGGTCCTAGGAAAGCCATGTATAATTCCTAGAGTATCCAACCAATCATCTTGAAATTTACAGGTAATCATCTTCTTATCATGTCCTATCATTGTGAGCAGTTTCATCAATATTGGTTAGCTGGTTGCTATGGTAACAGAAATCACTTGTTAAAAAAGTACACATTTTCGTAAAAATTTAAGACCTACCCTGAGACAAAGCACATAATATTTTCCTGGAATTGGGAGGAATTAGCATGAAAACATATTAGAAAACTTATTTGGAGTATGGTTGATAATACTAAATCAATTGATGTTTTATTTTAGCAATACAATTAATTATATTTGCCGATGATAATATGGCTATGCAAAAAATGTGTAAAAGGGGGCGTGGCACTTTTCCCAAGAAAACTTTATTTGTACCCAAGTTTGTGAATAAATATATGACTATTCATTCTGATATTAACAGATATTAGTATAGTTATGATGTTTAACCATCATGGGAAGTTTCGCTATTGTTGGTCTGCTGGTTGTTATGGTAACAGAAATCATTTGTTAAAACAGTTGACCATTAATGGGGTATGGGGTATATTATCTAATTAAGGATATAAACTTTGTCTTCAAATATACATTCATGGCTTTGTGAGGTCATCAATGTGATTTTATTTATGTGTGCTTAATTTGCATCTTGGAATGAAGTTTTGAGGAAAACGCATTTTAACAAAATCAAATAAATTATTGTTTATATTAAATAAATTCATTAATCTCATTCTGGATGATACTAATTTATCACTCACTCACATGCTTACCTATATATTTGTTTCTTTTTAAATTAACCTGACATCTTTATGAAATATACATGTTTGAGTGATTCCCGTCATGCTTAATATCCAGATAGAAAATAATGTTATTCATAAAAATAGTTAATAATTCCTATTTGATATAACAATAATACCAAATTTAGAGCATCATTTAAATGTTGCAATTAGAATTTAGACTTCATTAATGTGATGGCAAATTAAATCTGCATTTCTAGGAATAAGTTGTATATGCAATGATAAATCAGTTGTTGATATGAGCTTTTGTTGTCAATGTTATGCTTCAATTACCACAGTTCATGCCTTCTTGATTAGCTGTGCAGACCTGATGAAATAGATATACGTTGTGCGGTTAAGCTGTGCTTCATCTAGATAGAGGTGAGTGATTGTGGGTAAATACAGTGAGTGATTTTGGACAGGTGAGTGATTTAAGTCAGGTGAGTGATTTTGGACAGTGGTTCCAAACAGTGCGGTGCGGTTGCCTTACTGATTACGGGGCAGTTGCGAGTGATTTTGGACAGTGGTTCCAGACAGTGCGGTGCGGTTGCGTAACTGTGTAGATGCAGAGGCATTCTTTATTTTCTTTATTTTATAATTTTAGGGTGAAGTCAAGGTAGGTGATCTAATACACATTGTTTATGTGTGCTGCATACAGATAAAGTTTAGTGACTCTGTGTTAATAGATTGAGTGATTTTGGACAGTGGTTCCAGACAGTGCGGTGCGGTTGCGAGTGATTTTGGACAGTGGTTCCAGATAGTGTGCTGCAGTTGCAGTTGTGCTATATACACAGTTATTCCTTGTTTTTTACTTTTACGTTTCAGTTAAGGTAGGTGATTTAATACACCATCGTTTAGTTTCCATTATTGCATCGTGGAGTGTTGCCCTTCCAATATACTTTTTTCCATATATCATGCAACTGAGTAGAACCCTGTAAATCAATGTATTAGTGTTGTTACGTATATATCATGTCCGAGAGAAGTTTGAGAAAAAGATCCTCTGCACTAGCAATTGGTGAAGAATGTCATAGTAAGAAATTACGCCAAAGCAACCTTTTTTTGTGAAAAAGATCTGAAATATCTCAAAGGAAACACAAAAGAATCATTAACAAAATGCTAAACAGACAACGCTTCAACATCAATAATAAATGCAGTGAAAGCCCAAGAAGACTGGACTTTACATGCAAAAATAGGAGGACGCTGTTTGATATCAGCAGAAGCTTGGTACCATAATACCTGTAGAAGAAATTACTTGTGCAAGAAAGTACGAACGATAAATGAAGAGGAAAAGGTTTTAATAACATCATTTGACTTCATATGTAAGCATATAGATGAACATGTCCTTCAAACCGATGGAGTTGAAACACTTGAACATGTCCATGAGCTGTATCAGGCACATATGAAGGAAAACAATCTGAGTGACTATAACCCCAAATATAAACAGCTCTTCCTGAAAACAAACTTTCTGTTCGCTATAAAGATGACCTTTGTTGCAATCTACTCTTAATTGCCTTTCATTTGAGTATAATAAAGCTATACTTCAGAAAGATCTAAAAATTAGCGAAAATTTCTGTTTTCCTGAAAAACACAGAATATATGTAAAATAGATAGATGTTGCGAATATAAATATATAAATTATATATAATAATATAAATTTCAAACAATAATATTAATTACTTTGGTTTAGAATGAAAATTTTATGATTTTTGCGAAAAAGTCCCGTCATTTTTAAAGCGGCGGCCATCTTGAAAAAAAATTTTTTGCGTAAAACTATTCATCAATATACATCTTTCCACCAAATATGAAGAAAATCCGTCAACTAATATTTGAGTTATCTTCCGGACGGACGGACGGACGGACGGACGGACGGACTGACGGACTGACAGACTGACGGACTGACTGACTGACAGACTGACGGACGGACGGACGGATGGAGGGCTAAACTATATCCCTACCGAACTTCGTTCGTTGGGATAATAATGTAGATATCAAGGAAAACTGACATTATTTTTTCACTTTGAACACAAATAAAGAATTCTTAGGAAATTGTGCCATGGCCCCTTTCTAATTTTTTTGCAAAGCCAGTTTACCATCAGCAAGTAGAATTCTTTGTATGGCTAAGATAAAGCATCAATTGATTTAATTTTATGAAACATACTCTAAATAAATTTTCTAAAATGTTCTCATCCTGACTGTCATAAAAATATTATGTGTTTTGTGTCAAGGTATGTCTTAGATTTTTAAGAAAATACAATATTTTTTAACAAATGATTTCTGTTACCATAACAACCAGCAGACCAACAATAGTGAAACTTCCCATGATGGTTAAACATCATAACTATACTAATATCTGTTAATATCAGAATGAATAGTCATATGTTTATTCACAAACTTGGGTACAAATAAAGTTTTCTTGGGAAAAGTGCCACGCCCCCTTTTACACATTTTTTGCATAGCCATATTATCATCGGCAAATATAATTAATTGTATGGCTAAAATAAAACATCAATTGATTTAGTATTATCAACCATACTCTAAATAAGTTTTCATGCTAATTCCTCCCAATTCCAGGAAAATATTATGTGCTTTGTCTCAGGGTAGGTCTTAAATTTTTACGAAAATGTGTACTTTTTTAACAAGTGATTTCTGTTACCATAGCAACCAGCTAACCAATATTGATGAAACTGCTCACAATGATAGGACATGATAAGAAGATGGTTACCTGTAAATTTCAAGATGATTGGTTGGATACTCTAGGAATTATACATGGCTTTCCTAGGACCCCTCTTAAAATAACACCAGGGGGGTATAAATCTGCATATTTCCAAAACGCTGAAAAACTAGACACCAATAGTTTCAGAATCAATGTAGAATAATAAACCACAAAAAAACTACATAAAGAGAAATTTGCTACTTTTCAAAACCACTTTTACATTATGCTCATCCAGTAAGGGAGCATGTAAGTTTCCCTTTGAAAATGTTACATTGATATGTAACAAAAAAAACAGTTAACTGTTATTTAAACTGCGTGTCATCGTGTTATATGTGGATACGTTCTCCAGTATGTTATTCAACTGTATTTTTGTGAATTAATTGTTTTTCTAAAATCTTAAGATGCAAAAAACGTCGTCCCAGAAATGTATCTTTACTTTGCCGTAAGGCATAACATATTGTGCAACATTTTTCCTCTTGTCACAAAGAGGATAATGTTTGTTTCGAGGTGTCTTGTGATGAGCGTTTCATGATTAAATGCAAAATCACTGGAGCAGATACCATCCAAAAACATCTGACATCCAACACGTCATCTAAGACTACATCGATCTGGTATTAGTTTGTTTTACAATAATAGAGAAATACGATGTCATATCAGCGCTACAGCAAATCATGAAGAACAAAATGCTCTCAAGTCGTGGCATGATGGTATTTTGAACAAAATATTTTAAATGATCGGTTTTTGAGAACGGTAGTGAATTAGACCATTCAAGGGGTTATATAAATCTACAAAATAATGTTTACTTTATTTGGATTAAATAACAATTGATCACACCTCAAAGCATCAACAGGCGGCCTTTTTAGCATTATTTTCACTGTTTGCAACGTAAATGTACATGAGATCGGGACATAGTATGTCTGTATAATCAGCTTACTTTCTCGCTCCCTGTACTATTGAGCAATTTACATTCCTTGTACCCTGTATTGATCAACTTTTGCAACTGTGTACCGTGTACTATGACATATCAAATATTTTAAAATTTAAAACGATATTATTTACATTCTTTCTTCAACTATCATATAACTTGGAACATAGACTTCACTATTGCACCACTGAAGTTCAGCGAATAGCAATATTGACTCACTCCGAGCACCAAACGTATTAACCTTTTGACCAAGCAGTCGAAATACTCAAAAGCGACGTGGTTGAAAGCCAAAAAATTCGCGCATGCGCTATCGAGGTAGGGTAGTGTGATAATGTCATGTTTGTTTTATTCTATGAACAAATGAACCTAGAAAATGCCAATATGACTGAAGAAATCAATAAAACATGACACAGGTTGAAAAATATAGTACCCTTAAATAGAAAATCAGCTTTGTTCAAAATATGTATCAGAAAACCAGCTCGAGATTTAACAAATGGCTTCCCATACATTGTGTTGTAGTCCAAATCCATCTCTGAATTTTGTGTTGTACAAAGAGACACATTTAGCTGTGTGAGACATGAGTTAAACCTGATGTAACCATTCTAAACATAATGTTCAAGCTTTAGGTCTCTTACATTACCTTCATTTTCAGATTCATTATCCTTTCCATCAGCATCATTTTCATCAAGATTCAAATCATCAGGCAAATCTAGAGCTTCGGGTTCAGGCAGCTTCTCCTGATCACCATGATATGGGTCAACCTCATTCTCATTATATTCACTCTCATCAACTTGATCCTGTTCATTGATCTTTTCTTCAAGATTTTCAGACTGCTTCTCTTTATTTTGGTCTTCCTTGTCTCTATCAGCTTGATCTTGGTTGTCTTGATTTGCCACCAACTCACTCTCTGTTTCAGGACCAGCACCTTCACCCACCTCATCCTTGGTGTCCTGTAAGAAAACACTGCATTTACATCAGGGTCACTGTTAAATCCTGATGTATGTTTCATGAATATTCTAAGTCTGCTAGTCATGACTCCTGTCTCAAGGCCAGTAATTGCCATGACTGCCAAAGAATGCCTCATTGAAATAGATTTAAGGTGTATAGACTCACACATGACACAAAAAAAAACATCACGTTGACTGGTATCTGAATCCAATTGCTGAAGAATAGAAACAGATTAAAACTAAAGGACCTGTGACCAATTCTAGTCATCAGGCATGACACTTTAGACCCTCATTTGAATTTACCTTTTGCTCCTGGTCCTCAGGCTCATCATCTCCCCAAATCTGTTCATCAAGCTTATCCTCATTGTCATCTACATCACCCATCTGTTTGTCCAACTCATCCTGATCATCATTCTCTTCTTCATCTTCTGAACCCTTTTCTGAATACCAAACAATGTATAACTAGATAACAGAAACGCAAAGGCGTAGCTTATCGCACTAGTAATCATGTCACAAAATGGCTTCCATAGATGCAATGCTCTACTAGACTACTTTTCCAATAATAGCAAAATTGAATAGTTACACATACAACAAGGCATTAACATGACAAAATGTCACCACCTAATTGCTTACAATATTATGAGTTCAATCTTTAACTCAGATTTGAATTTCTGGGAACTTAGTTGGTAATAAGTTGGTCAATTTGAAGCAAGTTGAATAAATACTTTTTTTCACCCTGAAAAAACACAGTCCTGTATGTAATGTTGACTGATTGACAACAATTTAATCCAAGAATTATTTGTATATATTTATATATATTTTTTCCAAATATTTATATATATTTTTTCAAAATGAAAAAACATTTAAACCTGCACAATGTTGGGTTGTTTCGGAGGTGAACTTTATCATTTTGAGCTTGATGAAAGATTATAGAATGATGAAGAAATGGGGCAAATATTGAGTACAAATACTCACGATAAATGTGTCCTTACAAAGATTGTTCATTGAATTGCTTCAATTGTCGACGATGATATGATTTTTGGAAGGTTTCTAAATTAAGAACGTGACGTCACTTCCGAATTATAGCACTCAAAATAAGTAGCGTTTAATTACTCTCATTGTTCATAATAAGACGGTAGCCCTGTGGTAGAATGCTCGCTCAGCACGCAGGCGGCCCGCATTCATGATCATTTAAGATAAGCCACGCCTCTTTCTTCGTTTTTATAATAGGCCACGCCTCTTTCTCGGTTTTTATGATAAGCCAGGCCTCTTTCTTCGTTTTTATAATAGGCCACGCCTCTTTCTCGGTTTTTATGATTCGCCACGCCTCTTTCTTCGTTTTTATAATAGGCCTAGCCGTTTTTCTCGGTTTTAATGTTAAGCCACGCCCCTTTCTTCGTTTTTTTTATAATAGGCCACGCCTCTTTTCTCGGTTTTTATATTCAGCCACGCCCCTTTCTTCGTTTTTATAATAGGCCACGCCTCTTTTCTCGATTTTTATATTAAGCCACGCCCCTTTCTTCGTTTTTGTAATAGGCCACGCCTCTTTTCTCGGTTTTTATGATAAGCCACGCCCCTTTTTTCGTTTTTTATAATAGGCCACGCCTCTTTTTTCGGTTTTTATGATAAGCCACGCCCCTTTCATCGTTTTTATAATAGGCCACGCCTCTTTTCTCGGTTTTTATGATAAGCCACGCCCCTTTCTTCGTTTTTTGTAATAGGCCACGCCTCTTTTCTCGGTTTTTATGATAAGCCACGCCCCTTTCTTCGTTTTTTAAAATAGGCCACGCCTCTTTTCTCGGTTTTAATGTTAAGCCACGCCCCTTTCTTCGTTTTATATAATAGGCCACGCCCCTTTTCTCGGTTTTTATGATAAGCCACGCCCCTTTCTTCGTTTTTATAATAGGCCACACCTCTTTTCTCGGTTTTAATGTTAAGCCACGCCCCTTTCTTCGTTTTTTAAAATAGGCCACGCCTCTTTCTCGGTTTTAATGATAAGCCACGCCTCTTTCTTCGTTTTTATAATAGGCCACGCCTCTTTTCTAGGATTTTATGTTAAGCCACGCCCCTTTCTTCGTTTTTATAATAGGCCACGCCTCTTTTCTCGGTTTTTATGATAAGCCACGCCCCTTTCTTCGTTTTTATAATAGGCCACGCCTCTTTTTTCGGTTTTTATGTTAAGCCACGCCCCTTTCTTCGTTTTTTATAATAGGCCACGCCCCTTTTCTCGGTTTTTATGATAAGCCACGCCCCTTTCTACGTTTTTTATAATAGGCCACGCCTCTTTCTCGGTTTTTATGATAAGCCACGCCTCTTTTCTCGTTTTTATAATAGGCCACGCCTCTTTTCTAGGATTTTATGTTAAGCCACGCCCCTTTCTTCGTTTTTATAATAGGCCACGCCTCTTTTCTCGGTTTTTATGATAAGCCACGCCCCTTTCTTCGTTTTTATAATAGGCCACGCCTCTTTTCTCGGTTTTAATGTTAAGCCACGCCCCTTTCTTCGTTTTTAAAAATAGGCCACGCCTCTTTCTCGGTTTTAATGATAAGCCACGCCTCTTTCTTCGTTTTTATAATAGGCCACGCCTCTTTTCTAGGATTTTATGTTAAGCCACGCCCCTTTCTTCGTTTTTATAATAGGCCACGCCTCTTTTCTCGGTTTTTATGATAAGCCACGCCCCTTTCTTCGTTTTTATAATAGGCCACGCCTCTTTTTTCGGTTTTTATGTTAAGCCACGCCCCTTTCTTCGTTTTATATAATAGGCCACGCCCCTTTTCTCGGTTTTTGTGATAAGCCACGCCCCTTTCTTCGTTTTTTATAATAGGCCACGCCTCTTTCTCGGTTTTTATGATAAGCCACGCCCCTTTCTTCGTTTTTTGTAATAGGCCACGCCTCTTTCTCGGTTTTTATGATAAGCCACGCCTCTTTCTTCGTTTTTATAATAGGCCACGCCTCTTTTCTAGGCTTTAATGTTAAGCCACGCCCCTTTCTTCGTTTTTATAATAGGCCACGCCCCTTTTCTCGGTTTTTATGACAAGCCACGCCCCTTTCTTCGTTTTTTGTAATAGGCCACGCCTCTTTTCTCGGTTTTAATGTTGAGCCACGCCCCTTTCTTCGTTTTTTATAATAGGCCACGCCTCTTTCTCGGTTTTTATGATAAGCCACGCCCCTTTCTTCGTTTTTTGTAATAGGCCACGCCTCTTTCCTCGGTTTTTATGATAAGCCACGCCCCTTTCTTCGTTTTTATAATAGGCCACGCCTCTTTTCTTGGTTTTAATGTTAAGCCACGCCCCTTTCTTCGTTTTTTATAATAGGCCACGCCTCTTTCTCGGTTTTTATGATAAGCCACGCCCCTTTCTTCGTTTTTTGTAATAGGCCACGCCTCTTTCCTCGGTTTTTATGATAAGCCACGCCCCTTTTCTTGGTTTTAACAATAGGCCACGCCTCTTTTCTCGGTTTTAATGTTAAGCCACGCCCCTTTCTTCGTTTTTTATAATAGGCCACGCCTCTTTTCTCGGTTTTAATGTTAAGCCACGCCCCTTTCTTCGTTTTTTATAATAGGCCACGCCTCTTTCTCGGTTTTTATGATAAGCCACGCCCCTTTCTTCGTTTTTTGTAATAGGCCACGCCTCTTTCCTCGGTTTTTATGATAAGCCACGCCCCTTTCTTCGTTTTTATAATAGGCCACGCCTCTTTTCTTGGTTTTAATGTTAAGCCACGCCCCTTTCTTCGTTTTTTATAATAGGCCACGCCTCTTTCTCGGTTTTTATGATAAGCCACGCCCCTTTCTTCGTTTTTTGTAATAGGCCACGCCTCTTTTCTCGGTTTTAATGTTGAGCCACGCCCCTTTCTTCGTTTTTATAATAGGCCACGCCCCTTTTCTCGGTTTTTATGATAAGCCACGCCCCTTTCTTCGTTTTTTATAATAGGCCACGCCTCTTTTCTCGGTTTTAATGTTAAGCCACGCCCCTTTCTTCGTTTTTTATAATAGGCCACGCCTCTTTCTCGGTTTTTATGATAAGCCACGCCCCTTTCTTCGTTTTTTGTAATAGGCCACGCCTCTTTCCTCGGTTTTTATGATAAGCCACGCCCCTTTTCTTGGTTTTAACAATAGGCCACGCCTCTTTTCTCGGTTTTAATGTTAAGCCACGCCCCTTTCTTCGTTTTTTGTAATAGGCCACGCCTCTTTCCTCGGTTTTTATGATAAGCCACGCCCTTTTTCTTGGTTTTAACAATAGGCCACGCCTCTTTTCTCGGTTTTTATGATAAGCCACGCCTCTTTCTCGGTTTGTATGATAAGCCACGCCTCTTTCTTCGTTTTTATAATAGGCCACGCCTCTTTTCTCGGTTTTAATGTTAAGCCACGCCCCTTTCTTCGTTTTTATAATAGGCCACGCCTCTTTCTCGGTTTGTATGATAAGCCACGCCTCTTTCTTCGTTTTTATAATAGGCCACGCCTCTTTTCTCGGTTTTAATGTTAAGCCACGCCCCTTTCTTCGTTTTTTATAATAGGCCACGCCTCTTCCTCGGTTTTTATGATAAGCCACGCCTCTTTCTTCGTTTTTATAATAGGCCACGCCTCTTTTCTCGGTTTTAATGTTAAGCCACGCCCCTTTCTTCGTTTTTTGTAATAGGCCACGCCTCTTTTCTCGGTTTTTATGATAAGCCACGCCCCTTTCTTCGTTTTTTATAATAAGCCACGCCTCTTTTCTCTGTTTTTATGACAAGCCACGCCCCTTTCTTCGTTTTTTATAATAGGCCACGCCTCTTTCTCGGTTTTTATGATAAGCCACGCCCCCAAAAGTATCTTTAGACAGTGTGCAATGTTTATAGTATTCACATACCAAATATGAACAAAATCGCTCCACTACTTTTCGAGTTACAGCAAAAATCGTAAAATAACGAGTAAAGGCGGCCATGTGCTTTTTTAATATCTACATTTGTAGCTTTATTGATGTCCTTTATAATTTTTTTACATTTAAAACATATTGCTATTACAGTTTGACATTGAGAAGGTCATTGAAGGTCAAATGCCTCTTTAAATTTGGTGTGTACACAGAATCTTATGTTAAACAGTATATACCAAGACCTCATCGCTCTTTACTAGCCAGACTTAGATGTAGATCTTTACAACTCAGTATTGAAACTGGACGTTTAACAAACACACCCCTCCCACAACGTATATGTCAAGTATGCTCAGACAGTGGTAGTGGTTTTCCAGTTGAAACAGAAAAACAAGGAAATGTTTAGAATGCCATGCATACACAGACATAAGAGATTGTTTCTTAGATAGTATTAAAAACCTGCTCCCTTTTAATTTCAAATATATGTCACAAGACATTAAAATGCTTACACTTATGAACACTGCCAGCATCTAAAATCAACTGTTTTTAAATTTTGGTCCAGGAGAAAACGTATTACTAATACATAATTAATCACTGTGCAATAACAATTATTATTTTATTGTATATTTATATTGATCTGAACTGATGGTGTCTCGTAAGCCGATGCCGGCTGGATGTGATTTTCATACTTGTACTTAATTTTGGTTCATTAGGAATGCAATATGACAATGTTCCACTATCAATGACTTAACCAGTCAATTCTTTATATGAAGCACATGTACTATACCTTGCTTGTCTCCATCTTGAGTCTTGCCATCAAAATCCTCAGACATTTCAATGGCATTATCCTCCTCTTCTACATCAGGTTCATTAGCATGATCTTCCTCCTTTTTCTCTTCACCTTGTTTGAAGGCATCTTCCAACTACATTGAATGAGTAAATTAAATAATAGTCAGGCTAGAGCACATATGTTTTATATAGAATGAGTCACAACCTGACTATTACTCTTGGAAATGTGCACCTTAAGAAAGGATATTACTTTCTGAATATGTGAGAAGTTTTGAATTGAAATAATTACATTTTCAAAACCAGATGATCAAAACAACAATATATTCAAGCAATTTATTCAATACTTTACCTGATCCTCAGTTTCAATTTGGTCACTGACATCCTTTTGTCCTTCCCCGTCACCAAGACCTCCCGACTCTATTTCAGAAAATTCAGTGGCTCCCTCTTGTGATTCATCTGAGAACTCAGCTGGGAGACAAAAGCCCTAGAACATGTTTAAAGTGCCCGATAAAGTATAAAATGCGCATGCGTCCAGGTGTTGATAAACTATAAATAGCGAAAATCCAGGGTTTGTCACCACAAGGTAAGCCAGGACGTGTTGAGAGAACAGCTAGTGTTGATATTGAATTTATATGTAGCCAGATAAGTTTCCTTATTGAAATTACATATGGTTATTAGCAATACTTTGTAGGTGCTAAATAATAAAATATTTAGAGTATATATGAGAGAAATTGGTCATTTCGAACCTGTTGAAAAGTTTGTGGCTCTCGGCTACACCGGGGAATTTACTTCCATGAGTACACACATAAATGTGGGGTTCCCCAAGAGGTACGCGACAAGGTGACCTGGCATCAAATGTGCGACTAAATGCTACTATCGAGAAGATAAAATAACGAATACGACAATAAGTTATTGCATGTGACAATTCCGAGCCTTCATCTCACTGAAGTATTTTGAAGTGAAAATATGATTTTTGTTTTGATACATGGATTCAGATGAACGTAACTTTATTCTGACAACTAATCAAAACTGAACAAAATTGATTGTACGTAACAGACAATTTATTGCTTCTATGAATGTTCATCTCTCTGGTAGTAATGTACAAAGTTGTTGATTTTCTTTCTCAGAGATATTTATTTTTATTTTTGACGTTTCGTAGGATGTCCAAGTAGATGAAGAAGTAGGATGGACATCCTACGAAACGTCAAAAATAAAAATAAATATCTCTGAGAAAGAAAATCAACAACTTTGTAGACAATTTATTGTTTTACAATGTTTTGATTGGCTAAACGAATGAAACCAACAAATTATGACATGTAAAATGACAATTTTGATATGTAAAATTTAAAAGTTACAAACACAACCTCCCTATCCACTCTTTGGGAGCCCTAGTAAATTAGTAATATGTACATGCAGCAGTGGTAGTGTGCAGCTTATTATCACACTACGCTTTGTATTCTAAAGCCTGTTGTTTGTAATAACACTGTTCACTCAACGTATGTTTTGTGTGTGGGCAGTCAACGATAATCATTGTTTTATCCCGGTTATATGACCTCGGCAATTATAACAAAACCGTACTAAACGAAAAAACGCAAATAAGAGAAAGCTTTCACACATATATAAAAAATGAACTAGTCTAATCCGCCAGTATAAACTCTGTGCTATACGTAGCCGGGTCAGGCGCACACTTTAAGTAAGAACTGATGACAAAATCCAGACAAGGCATTAACATGACAAAATGTCACCACCTAGTTGCTCACAATATCATTAGTTCACATGTTAAGTCAAATTTGAATTTTTGAGAACTCTGTATAAAAAATTTGAAGCAAGTTTTTTTACCCTGAGAAGGTCACTAAAGGTAAAATCTCAAATCTGAAGTCAGATTTAAACTTCTGAGAACGTGTAGATGATTTTGAAAAAAAATTGGTGAATTTGAAGCAAGCTGAAAAAAGATCTTTTTGACCTTGAGAAGGTCATTGGAGGTAAAATCTTTTTTATTAACCTTGGGAATGCCATTGAAGGTCAAATCTATAGTCAGATTTGAACTATTGAGAACTTGTAGATGATTTTGAAAAAATGGTAAATTTGAAGCAAATTGAAAAAAGACCTTTTGACCTTTCTTTGACCTTGAGAAGGTCATTGAAGGTCAAATCTTAAATCCAAAGTCAGCTTTGAACTTCTGATTACTTGTAGATGATTTTGAGAAAAAAAGTTCGATTTGCAGCAAGTTGAAAAATACCTTTTTTTAACCTTTTTTGACCTTAAAAAGGTCATTGAAGGTCTTAATTCTGACATGTTTCAAAATATCAAACTTTACCTTTGCAGCTAGTTGTGTGAAAAGTCCCAGCAAGACGGACATCAGTTTGGTTGTTCCCCTATAGGTGGCTACACTTTTGGTAACAAAGAACTCCACTAGGAGGCAGTACTGATCTAACAATGGTTGGCAATGACTCAGCAGTTTGGAGAAAGATTTGAAATTATGTCCCAGTTTTATGTGGTTTATGAGCGATGTGAAGCGATTGAGAACCTGCAGAAAAACAGAAATATAAAGGTTATCGGTAGGCCTACATATTACCCTACTAGCTAGTTGTGTGAAAAGTCCCAGCAAGACGGACATCAGTTTGGTTGTTCCCCTATAGGTGGCTACACTTTTGGTAACAAAGAACTCCACTAGGAGGCAGTACTGATCTAACAATGGTTGGCAATGACTCAGCAGTTTGGAGAAAGATTTGAAATTATGTCCCAGTTTTATGTGGTTTATGAGCGATGTAAAGCGATTGAGAACCTGCAGAAAAACAGAAATATAAAGGTTATCGGTAGGCCTACATATTACCCTACTATCACACCAAACTAGTTCTCATTACGTTCTCGAAAACGGGGTTCAACTGTGTATGAACGGACTGGACATACTTAGAACCGTTTGGGGTCTATTTACAAACTTCATCGAACGTACTTGAACTTGAACTAGAAATTAGAACATGCTCAAAATGTTCTCTTGGTCGTCACGTTCTACAATTAGAACGAGTGACAACGTACTAACCACGAGCTGGATGTACCGCGAACGGAACCGTCGTACTTCAATCCGACTAGGGACGTTTTTACAACGAGTTGAACTGTCTAAGGACGTATTGAGAACGAGGTAGAACTAATTGCAAACAGGTTAAAACTGACTAAGACCGTATTTATCAATGAGTTAGCAAAAATATAGCTATCACACCAAGCAAGTTGCCACTGCGTTCTTCAAAACTGGTTTTAAACTCTGTGCGAACGGAATGAACGTATCTACAACGTTAAGGTCTGTTTATGAACTTCATGGACTTTCCCGGACGGGGAATGTGATTTAAAATTTTGAATCGATTCAAAATTCGATGGCGACCATACGGTTCTGTAATCAGGTCATGATGACCTTCTAGACTAAAGGACGCGTTATACGACGTTGCACACCGACATGGTGCGACCTCAACGAACTGCGAATGAGATAGAGGTATTGAAGACTGTTTATGAACAAAGTAGCTAATTATTTTAGACATATTTCCCGACCACAGCCAGATTGAGCCCGTTTTACGTCGTTTTTGTAGGACTGGCAAGAACGGGTAAGAACTAGTTTGGTGTGATAGGGGGGTTACATACATGTACATACCAAATGTTCCAAAATCTTAAAAACATGCATGAAATAAGACAAAATAGTGACAATGTTGAAAACTCCAGTAAGATAAAGTTACTGCTTATTTTTATTACATGAATGTTCAATATCTGCAATGACATTAAAGCATTTAGAGTGTGGATAGTGGAGGTCTGACCTGTAACAAATATTCACATAAAATATCAGATACTACAGTACATACCTTGTGGAGATTAATTGCATCAAGGTCAACTTCTAGGTGTTTTTGCAGACATTCAGTAAGATGGTTCTTGACAAGCTCAACATCTTCCTCATCTCTTCCATTATTAGCCTCCTCTTCAGATGTTGCATGTTCACTTCCAGCACTGACTTTCCTGGCAGTCTCAGTCTTGAGTATATTCTGTACTCCTAGTAACACCTCAGTTATCAATGACTCTACATCTTCAACCTGAGATTTATTTTCATTCAAGTCAGTATTGTCACTTTGCCCTTTGGCATTATCATGGGATTGGTTTATAGTGCTTCTAAAAGTGGTGAATTCACTTTCCCGAATGCTGATGTTTTCTCGTAGGAGTGTCAAAGATTCAGTCATACTCATGGCCTCATTGTTTATATTGGATGGAAGACTGAAGAGCTCCTGAATTTCTACCAGGTAAGGAACATAACTACTGAGCATGTTATACACAGATGCAATGATCTTTAAGTCTCCGTGGGTTACCAGGGAAACATTACTACTGGTGTTTGCGACAAGAGACAAAATGACTGCATTCTGTTTAATAACATCTTCCTTCATTTCCTAGAAACACAGAAGCGACAATTTGTAAAAGCACATAAGAAACTAAGAGTTCCAAATCAACAAATTCAATCCTACAAAATATTATATCATATCTTGAGTTATAATTCACGCAAATAATATATCAACAACATCTCTATGTTACTTTTGGAGTTATAGCAAAAATGTAAAATGGCTGCCTTGTTATATAATAGGCAAGTTGTCAAAAGAAAAGGTGTCAAGCTTCAAAATACTATGTAAATTTAAACAAATCCATTCTTTATATCCACTGAACTTCGTTTGATCAAATAATTATATTAAAGGTACTAACCCTCAACTTCTGCAACACGTTGACCAAAATCAGATCTCCCTGGTGTAAAATGGCCATTTTTGAATGTGAGCTCTTCAAAAAGGGTGACATGTATTTTGTCTCTCCATCTGGCTGTTTAGGAGAGCAGTGTAGGAGAATGAGGAAGTGGTCCAGGGTAGTGACAGTGGCTGTGAGAAGACTGTGGAGGCAGTCTATATGAACACGGGATTGGTCTTGAGGTGGTACATACTGCTCATCACTGGATGTGAACTTGGAAAGAGATTCCAGGCATTTCCTACAATTTATTCAAATTATTCACAATTATTTCATAATGCCAATGTGAGTCATTTAAAGGTTTAAGTGTTTTCTCTTTTGTAATCCTTGCAAAAATCACTGGTAAGTTACTCTGAACAAACTACTACAGAAGATCTAAAGAGAATATGACCTTAATTGTGAGCATATTTCATTACTAGAGGAGAAGATTGCTTCAACAAGCAAGCGTATTTTAGTGGCAATTGACACATGCGCATCGTGTTTGTTTTAAAATTTTATGTAACAAAAATTGTGAGTTAGCCTTTGCACAACTAGAAAAACAGCAACTCCACGGAGTAGCAAATCCTACCGAACAAAACATGTTTGGATAAATAGCGGCCAGTTAAAATTTGAGCCAAATCCATCCACTGGTATTTGAGATTATGTTTTTATGAAACATGGTTGCCATTTTGAGATTCAGCTGTCATCTTTAGATTTCTTCTTTAGCAGAGGTCTTATGTCCCAAAGCATCAGCATATACAATTTAATCCAAATCCGTCAACTGGTACTCCGAGTTATCAAGGATTGCATGTTTAATGAAAAATGGCGGAGATTTTGATAAATAGCAGCCACCTTGAAAATATCTTCTCGAGCAGAGCTCCTTTATCTCTAGGCATCAGTATATAAAATTTGAAGTAAATCCGTCCAATGGTATATGAGCTATCAAAGATTACCTTTTTAATGAAAAATGGCAGCCATTTTGAAATTCAGTTGACACCTTTGAAATTTCTTCTGAGGCAGATCTCCTTTTCCCTAAACATCAGCATATAAAATTGGAACCAAATCCATCCACTGGTATTTGAGTTATCAGTGATTACGTTTTTTTTACGACAAATGGCGGCCATTTTGAAATTCTTTGTCTCTAGGCATCTGCATATAGAATATATATATATGATTATGAACCAAATTCATCAACTGGTATTTGAGTTATCAAAGGTTACGTTCTTTTATGAAAAATGTTGGCCATTTTGAAATTTAGCTGCCATCTTAAAAATCCCTTCTCGAGCAGAGCTCCTATGTCCCTCGGCATCAGCATGTAAAATTTGAATCAAATCCATTCAATGGTATTTGAGTTATCAAAGATAACGTTTTTTTACGAAAATGTCTTCTTGAGCAAGGCTCATTTGTACCCAGGCAACAGCATATAAAATTTGAACCAAATCCATCCACTAGTATTTGAGTCATCAAAGATTACATTTTTTCCAATAAATGGCCGCCAATTTGAATTTAGCGGCCATATTGAAAATTTCTTCTCGAACAGAGGTCCTACACCCATAAGGCATAAGCCTATAACATTTGAATGAAATCTGTCAACTGGTATTTGAGTTATTGCCCGGACACACGAACGGACTGATGGATGTCATTTGTTGGTGCTGCATCAGTGTCTTCATTCGTTTTCTTCTTTCTTCTTCCTTTGTCTTGATTTGACTGTTGTCTTGATTTGATTCTTCAGGGTCCACAGACTTGAGACTGCATGTAGGTGGGTTAAACGTTTTGATCTGGCCAGAAAACTCTCCCCTTCCCCTTACTGATGTTCTTATGTTGTCTTCTGTCAGTTCCTTTCTCTCTTGTGATCGGTCTTCTAACTTCTCATAGTTTACCCTCTGCGCAGAATATACTGTTTCATATTCATTTGTTAATGTTTTCTTCCCTCACTAATTTTCCAGTGTTTCATGATGATATTTTCCTGCATATTGTATTTAATACATATCCATTTATTTCTTGTTATAGCTTTCTTAGTAAACAAATTTAGTATGTTACTCCTATAACCTTGACTTAGTAGTTTTTTTTCCCAAACTGGTAACTCTGTTGCATCTTCCAATTGACTGCATATTCTTGAAATCCTTATTATTTGTGATATAAATATTCCATAGGACTGGTTTCTAGGAATATTTCCAGATAAATCTGGATCTGAGACTATTTGGAAATTGAAGTTTTCCCTTTTGGTGCATAGTTTTGTTATGAGTTGTTTATTTAGAATCTCCACAGAATCTATTGATATCATAAAAGATTTCAAAACTTATGGTGATAACAAATATATGTTATTATTGAAGCTGTTATTTTTGTGATTATTGAAATTGTACCTTAAAAGCTTCAATAAAAATATTACCTCAGTTGTATGAAAGGTGTCGCCACTGATGCTACATGGTTATGCTGCTGTTGTGAAAGAGTCAAAATGTGCTCAATAAACCCTCGACATCTACTTATGTTGTCCAGCCCCAGGTCCTAGAAAATAATTTATTCTATTAAATACATTTCTGTAGACCAATCTATCTATCTTGATGGGGAGATTGTATGGGGATAATATGGTAGGCAGTCAGAGAATGCATGACTTGTGGCCAAAGGGAGAATATATGTGGTCAGATCAGCACTTATCTGGACCACATGATATACAAGTGGGTTTATTAGGGTAAAGCACATTACCTTAGCTGGAGACTGCAGTGCAACCTGGAACTGTGCACGCCTAGCAACACATTTGTACATGTAACCAGGGCACCCTCTCCATGTCTCCCCTAGATGGGTGTCACACCTGTAAGACAGAGAGACACAATATAACATGACATCAACATATTTGTACATGTAACCAAGACACCCTCTCCATGTCTCCCCTACAATGTAGATGGGTTTGACACCTGTAAGACAGAGAGAGACACAAAGTAAAATGACATCAACACATTTGTACATGTAACCAAGGCATCCACTCCATGTCTCCCCTAGATGGTGTCACACCTGTAAATGAATAAACACAAGGAGCACACACGTCTCAAACTCGCAACCTCGTGGCTACGTCACCTACTCGCCTAGTTTGAACGTGCTGGCGATGAAGCCCTCTCAGCCAACTCGTGATATTGAGGTTTAGGCTGAAGCAAATAGAGATATTTGCATACTTACTCATTGGTTGAAAACTGATCCAAAGCTACCATAAAATCTACAGGTTTCATCAACATTATATCAGTCTCCTCACGGTGCTGTGACATCATCAAGCCTTTCCGATACGACAGTCCTAATAAGGCAAGGTATTTGAAGAGCTCTGCTAAGGCTTTTCGTTTGCGCAAGTTGATCTGTTTAGCTTCAGACTTTTGTTTCTCCTTATCATGTTCCTGGTTCACTTCCAGAGTTGCAAGCTCTTTCACAGTGCTTTGCACCTCATCTGAAATTAACAGCAACTGGTCAGAGTTTGAAATATACAAAAAAGTACAAGCTTAAAATTCCTAAGGGAGTAATATTCTCAATGGTCCAATGCATTTAATTTTCTCAAGCAACTGAGCATTTTAGTTGGCAAAACATTTTCCCAAAAGCCTCAAAGTGCTTAACAGTGAGGTTGTCAACATACTCTGGTGCTTACCAGTTAATTCCTCAAGTCCTGTCAACAGATTCTGATATTTTGTGTCAACCATCAATGAACTACTGTGTTGTCTTATTCTTCGAGTCAAGGTTGGCAGTTTGCCGAGTATGGAGTCTTTGATGATCAGCTCCTCTTTTCCATCAGTCAGCTGCAAATGTGATATAGAGTAAAACTTTTTTTGTTACTTTCTCTCATTTTGTTCACCATTTTGAAAAGGTTTTCTTTTAAACACAATTGAAACAAATTTGGTTTTGACATTAGTATGAGTGAAGCAAGACTATTTTCTAATATGCAAAGAAATCAAATGATCATATATTTACAACAGTAACCAGAATTGGAATAGTGATATATATATATCTTTTATTGACTCTTTAGATGTCATGACCTGACATATTAGTCATTACAAAATGAAATTTCACAAAACTACACTACACTACACTAATATATACAATTTATACAAAAAACTTGTTATTTACATATATGTTATAATATACTTTAGGTGTGATGCATCCAAAATGTTAAACTCCAGGCAAGTTTAAGTTTTTGAATGATTTTGTAATAAAACTTCCAACTTGCTTTTGCACATATTTATCTTTTGAAGATATTAACATAATGAATGTATTTTCAGGATCATGTTGATCAACATTAATTTTGCTAGTGATGTTGTCAAACAATATTTTTCTATTTTCTCTATGTAAATGGCATTTAATCATGAAATGAACCTCATTTTCTATTTCCCCACAAAAGTTACATAATCTTTCATATTCAGGTTTTGGCCGTGGTTTTACATGTCTACCCAGTTCTATTTGTAATTTATGTGAACTTAATCTCAGTTGTGAAATTGATTGCCTGTGATTTTTGTTTTGAAGGCTTAAATATTGTTCTCTTTCAAAAGTTGTTTTGAATTTAATGTATGTTCTTAAAACTGGGTATAATTGTAAATCACACTTCCATTTCTCCTTATAATTTTGGTACAATATTTTAGTTAGGTTCTTTTTAAATACATAGTCATCCTCAACAACTTGTTCATTCCAAGTGCTTTGGAGATTACAATCTTTTAAAATATTATGAACCTTACTTGACCAAGTATTTTTAAATCCTAAACTGTACATTTCATAATCATATAGATATGCTTTATAAAGGAGGTTATCTGGACAAAGTTGTATAAGCCGTATCCAATATTTAATAAGATGAATATCAAAGCACAAACTAAGTGGAAAACGACCCAGCTCTCCATAGACTGCTAGGGTTGCAGTTGATGTTTTCACACCAAGGATGCTTTTTAAAAAGGACAGGTGAATAGTTTCAAGTGACTTGATATGTTTTTTACTTGACCATATTTCTGAACCATACATCAAAATTGGTTGGACAAGTGAATCAAATAAATGTAAGGCAACGGATATGGGAATGTCATTAAACTTGTGATATTGTTGCTTTATTTTGAATAAAGCTTTTCTAGATTGTTCTTTAAGATAGCATATTTGTTTATCAAAATTATTTTTACTGTTGAAGATAAGAGAAGTTTTTTCATTTTTTAGTCAGTGTTGTTAAATCATCAAATAAAAGTTGAACTCACAGTTTCTGCTGTTTGTATCAAATACTGCTGTGGATCAGACATCTTGAGCAACTTCAGCCCTTCACTAATAGATGGCTCTGTATTCTCAACCGCCATCTTTTGTGTATCTTGAGCACTACTATCCATCTCGTATTTAGGTTTAGTTTTGGCTTTTTCATGATTCACAGTTTCAATCTTTTGCTCAGTGTTTTCTTTCTTCTCTGCAAGTGAGTTCTTTACTGGTTGGTGGAGTATCATGCGGTATTGTCTCATGTATTTAGCCAACGTGCGATGTGTTTTCTCAACAGCTTGCTTCATTGCAAAGAAGTTAATGTCATTCCATTTTGCTATCTTCACAAAATTCTAGAATAAAATCATTTAAAATGGTATAGTTTTCATGGCAACAATCTGTTTTGAATTGAGTTTTGAATAAAGCTGTCAGATAGCCATTGAGTACTTCTAAATATAACCAAATAATAAATAAGTAAAACCATCAATCAGCAGTATTATATTTGGAACATCGCAGCCATTTTAACCCTGTAGATACATATTTATTTCTCCTCTTGGAATAAATGAAACACTTAGGGATTTCTTGATCTGCCATATTAAAAGTAATTTAGTTAAGGGGCAGGTGCATATACATGTATCATGTGTGAACAGAAATGTTGCTCACATCACTTTAGTTGTAGTATTACCTTCAACTGCTTGTGTAGCGGATCTCTCTGGCTTGCAATCAACTCCTCAATGGTTGGCTTGAAGTGACTGAAGTACTGGTAGATGTTCCACAGAATATGAAGCACATCACCTGAATTAGCAAATATATTCTTGATATTTAAAGATTTATTGCAAGATCATTTGTGTCCATGGACAAAAGACAAAGCATATCTTTGACTATGAGTATTTCTTTATCATAAATTCAACATGTGTCATCAAAATAATAAGCTTCTTTCCAATTGAGGCCCCAAGAACATCAAATTACCAACTGACTCTCAGAAATTTAATCCCATATTCAAACCCTCCCATAACATAACCCTAATATACCTTGTTTTTCCGAGGATTGCATGTGTGCTATCTGACAGTGGAATGCATATATCATATCCAATCTGACACTATACTCTCCCAGTGTTGCTCCCTCCATGAACTTCTGCAGTGCTTCAATCAACTCTTTTCTCTCCTTATTGTCTTCTCCATCACTTGCTTCATTGTCATGGTGATCTTGCTCAGAATTGATGTAAGACTGTAACAGGTTGTATAGGTGGAGCCACCATTTTGCTGCATTTTCTTTGGTTTTCCATTCCACCATCTTAAGACAGGAGTCCCAGGACCTGAAGATTTTCAGCATATCAATTTACATTGTAATCACTTGCAATAATTATATTGTAATGTTTCCATTCTGTTCTAATTCTTATCCCAGAATACTATCAGGGAAAAAAACTACAGTATCAAGGAAAAGTAAAATAGCCTCATATAAATACACCCAGGTCACTTGAAACAACTTGCTTGTGATTTGAGGAATGGCATAAACCAGGAAAGGCAGATTTGTTTTTCTTAACAGGAATTGAATATAAATTTTCAAGGCTGTGTTCGAATGTATGTTAATTTCTTACTTTAGCTCTAACTTCCTCCAGTCTATGATCTGGTTAGTGACAGCTTCCAGCTGTGTCTGGAGAGACACATGCTTGGCTGCATTTGCTTCCCATTCCTGAAAAATAATCAAACCATGGAGGAAATGATCACATTGATCAACTTGTCAAAGAATTATCGAAGGAGTGGTGAATTCATCTTGTAAGTAGATGTACTAAATGCATTATAAAAACAAGAAATGCCAGAAAATCAAGCAGTTCATCCAATACAATAGAGCATTTAACGAAAGTTATTCAAATATGTTCACTATAATCAAACTCCCTACCTGTGCCTTCTGAAGTAAAGTCTCCAAGCCAGTGACAAACTTCATCAATGGGGCAGTGATAGGGAATGATAATATTCTACCAATCACAAGAAGTAATTGCTTCAAGGTGGGGTGGTCTGGCCATTCAACAAGCAGTTTGTTAACGGCAGTGGAGAATTCTTCCAAGATTGGTTGACACAGGATCACTTCAGGGACATTGGAATCATGGTAGATATCATAAGGTTTGCTCTTTACAGACTTCAATGATGTCTGAAAAGTAACAATATATCTATTTTAAAAAAAATGAATATGCCATGACTGCATTATGAGTAACTTGTCTTCCATTGAGAGAACTCCCAAAGAAGAGTAACATGCGAAGCAGGTAACAAGAGTTATTGAGACTATCCTCCAGATCTGACTAGATTCTGGAATTGTATTGAGTAAAAGGAAGATGGCTCACATTTACCTCAGATTCCAAAGTCTGGTCCACCCCATTCTCAATGATTCTGCCAGCCAATATGTGTGCACCTATCAGTCTTGCATCCAGCCCGGATACTAAAATTCATGTAAACACAATGTTGATTATTGTATTACATTTGATGAATATAACAAATAATCAGGTTGCCCATTTCATAGTTACATTCTACAGTACATGTACAATTGTACATACATGTACCTGTATGTATTTCATAAATGTCTTCTTGTGTATTATATAGAAATGTGCTAGAAGCAACTCCCCGGAGAAGCATATTCCAAGAAAAAAAACATATTTTATCAAATCACTCATCATTTTGAACATTTCATGAGATAAAAAACAGGCAGTAGTATGATCTCCTTTTGGCAAAATGTACACCTATGAAGTGGAATGACACCATTTTAGAAATCCATTCTCGAGTAGAGGTTCAATGCCATAAAACATCAGCCTGACATATATGAACCAAATATTATCCTTCAAAAAAGCAAAGATTTTAACTTTTGTAGCTATCTTAAAAATTAGTCTGACAACTGGTATTTCATTTATCAAATATCAAATTGTTGCTTGATAATTGTTCCTGTTATCTGTATTACATACCAAGCAAAGCATTTGTATGGACGTCAATGGTGACATAACCTGTAAGTATGTGAATGTATTCAGTCATATGTGAATCTATTGAAAGACCCTTCCATAGAATAATGTCACTTACACATAAGGGGTCCAGCCTTCCTTATAAGACTCGCAGCACATTTATACCCAGTTATAAATGGCTCAATGTGATCTATAGTGACATCTGATGCATTCTGATTGGACTGCAGCCAGTCTGTTTTGGTAAGACTGCAGAAAAGATTATGATGTACTGCAGCCAGTTCAAACATCTCCTTTTCAGTAATAAACTCTGTACCAATTTGTACATTAGAAGCATTTTGAGTCTTTTGGGTCTTTGGTTTAGGCTTGTCATCCAATGTGAATCCAACAATGACATCCTCAAAATCCTAATAATAATAATAAAAAGTATAATAAGGGTTGGTACACAAGGCATTTACATGCAATATGTCATCACCTGCCATTTGTTACAGATGATGGTGACATAAAAAGCCAAGGTTACTCTAGTATATATAAAATAGAATGAATATTCATTGATACAATTGCAAAGCACACAGTATACGTGTCTAATGTATACTTAAACATTGTCATAAGATCTGTCAAATATATCAGAGATGATAGTAACTATACTAGCCTCCTACCTGTTGAAATGAGGGGAAGTTCAGAGCAAGTTCATCATTTTCTATCTCTTCCTCTGTTCGGACATCTCCATGTGTCACTTCTTTATATCTGGCAAATATATGAAAATCATAAACATACCTAGATAGCTTCAATGGGGGCATAATAATCGGAGTATCAAATATTTTTTAAATAATTCTTGAAAATCGCCCCTTGCTGAAATCCTCCATAACTTTAAAAAAGTTCAAGCGATTTGCTTTAAAAACAGAAATCAGTAGAGTAATATCAATACTAACGGTAACGCCAAGTAATAAAACGAATGGTTCTTCAACAGGACATACATGTATTTCTGGATTTTCTGAGGTTTATGCACCAGTTATTACTGATCTGTTATTACAATAACTAGACTATTAATAATCTTACTTGTACAAACTAGCTTCTAACAATTCCTTTTCACGCTGTAGGTTTTCCATTTCAACCCAACTGGTAACATAGCAACCAAAGATGTCTGCCAAGAGAGAAATAGACTTTGAATCCAGAAGTCCCTTTGTCAGGCAATGATTGGCCAAATACAAGAGGCCACATTTTCTCAAGCTGAAACAAAAAGAACTGACATTTAATTGACTTATGATGCAAATATTTTAGTGCTATTTAATATGGGTGTAGCTACAGAAAAACTTCATGTAGAGTATCTCTACATGGAGATCTGTATTAAATAAACATCAGATTTTGCTAAAACTGCATCATGAATTTGACATTATTAGTTATTAATACAGTATTCAGTCATATAACAGAGGTTAGAACGGCACTTGACTTGAGCATGTGGTGAATTTTACCTGTTTTACAATGTGTGAGGTATATGTAAATTGTATTCTTATTCTTACCTAGAAGTTGGGCTAACAAGGTCTTTGCCCTCATCACTGCCCACATAGTGAGACATGATAGCTGTCACTAAAGACATTGTGCTGTCAGATGTAAGGCTTTTAGACAGCTCTAGTAGGTCCAAATTGTCTCTGGACTGCACAGGAAATCTGCTTAGCGATTCTACTGTACACTCAAGCTAAAAATAAAAGCTCAAATAAATATAAGACATGAACAAGACACAAAGTGATAAATATTGCACTTTGAAGAGCAACATGGTCACCATGTAATTTACGCAACATGCCCTTCCTTCTTTGCCTGTGAAATTTTTGAAGGTTGCCAAAGGTCAACCAAAGGTCAAATCTCAAATCGAAGGTCAGATTTGAACTCTGTAGATTACATGTGAATTGAGTATCATCTAATGTGCTGCTTTGACACAACCTTTAAAGGGTGACGCATATCGTTTAGCAAATCGAACGCTCGTTTCTGGTGTTGCTCACCGTTTAGTATAAAAGGCCCGATCCCGGAATAATACTCAAGGGTTCACAGGTTCGAGGTCGTTGCGTCAACACCTCTAACTGTTATATAGCATAAGTGAATTATAGATCGTCACACATTTATAAAAGGGTGATTTTTATTTTGACAAATCAATTCCACATTTATGGGTGAAGTTTCAGGATCTTCTATTTGTGTATAATAAGGAAAAATTGGCATCTAAATTTCCCAATAACGTAATAGCACACAGCTTGGCATATGAAATATCCTACAAATGAAACAAAGCAAGACAAACCGGTTTCTAATACAAGAATTTATATTGGCTGTTGTACATGTATTATTTGAACGCAATCACTCTTTGGATAACGTTTTCAAAATCATTATAAACAGATTACTTTATCTCAAAGACAATTTCAATAAACTGGATTTTACAGAACTCCCCTTATTTCTTAAAAATGGACTGATCCAGTTGATTCGCCTGGAGCCGCCATATTGTTTTTATACGGGATGCTAATCGGAACCCTTTAAGCCAGAATACAACAATGACCCAAGGAGGATTGGAAACCAGAGATTCAACTCGATATTCTTTAGTGTCCAAGTAATGCGATAATGCCGATCATGTCTGTATATTTTTATGGCTGCGGGGAGAATGATCGATATTCTCCAACAAACCGTGCTTCATTAATGTCTGACATTTACCTGGCTATAAATTCACAATCAGCATTCAAAATATTGAAACCAATGGTCAATAATTAAGCCACTAATGATCTTCTTAATCATTTCAAATTTTGAAATGAGAAATACAACTCCAGGACTGATGCTAGCTTTGTTAGAGAATATCGATGTTGCATTCTGGCTTCCAATCAATCCTCCTTGACAATGACCCCAAAAAGTCCTTTGTGATTAAGCTCACCTAAATTTGAGTACAAAAATCAATTTTAATAAAAATCAACTTTTTAACTTTTCAAAGGTTGCTGAAGGTCAAATTTGAACTCCTAAGAACTTTAAGATGATTAAAAAAATGTGGTCAATTGGAAGCAATTTGAAAATATGGCATATATGGCTTGGAAATTCTCTCTTGAACAGGCATCGTAAAAGTTGTTTCGTAGTTAGGTTGGTAAATAAGGATTCAAGTTATAGCTGGAAAAATGGTGTCCATTTTGAATTGAGTGTCCACATTGAAATTCCTTCACAAGCAGTCCCATAAAGCATCAGGCAGTAAAAAAATTTGAACTTAATCTGACAACACATTTTCATATTCATAAAAACAGAATGAATGAAAAACTACACTGATAATAAAAAAGTTCTAGTTTCATACTTTATTTTCTAGTGTGGAAAGGTTGATTCTTTGTCCCATAGTTGACACCGCATATATGGCTTGTTTCATCCCATGTAGCATCTACAATAGAAATACATGTATCATTTCATGTACCTTAAACAACAGAGAAACCACTACGTGTACAACAACTACAATAGAAATATGACTTCAATAACTCAGATGCGAGTAGGTAGTTACCAGTTTCACAACCAACAGGCTCATTCAGGTCAGATATCATGGCGGATAGAGTAGAAAGTTCCCTTTAACTTAAATAATGATCAGTTTTAGTGGTTCAATTTTCTTATCACCCTTATTATGTATATAATGCTGATTTTATCTATCCCACATCATTCGAGACTGAATGCTCTATCTTGTATGAGTACTTGTATCTACAACTATTTTTGAGGTTATGAGTATTGGCTATCAATTTCTAATTTTTTCTTCAACATGTATTGTGATGACTTCAGTATGAATGAAATGTCCCTTGGTCTCCTGGTCTTGGATTGTGATATTGGTTCTTGAATGGTGGGGGGAAAGGGGGTATTAGACATTGTTTCTTTTCACGTTAGATCATGGTTTTGGACTATATGGGGTTTGTTTTTCTTGACTGGTACAGTATACACTTAGAGTTTGCTTTTTCTTGCATTACATTTCCATTACAACTTTTAGTCCTTTCCCTTTGGCACTAGTGCTTATATATTAATAGTTATGAAAATCAAAATATGTCCAGTAAAAGAAAATATTATCTGTCCAATACAAGAAAGATATTCCACTTTTTGTGATTTTATAACATGGGGTCTATGGGGAATCTCCCTAACTAGAGGTCACCTTTAAAAAACAATTTTCAAAGTTAATAAACAATTTTAGAAACAATATTTTGAGATGCATTTTTACATGGAGATTTCAAATATGACATCACTTTGACTGAATTTTGAATATTTAATGACGTAAATCAAGATTAATTCTACTTGCATCTAGCCTATTAATGAGTAGCATTTAATGACACAAACCTTTATTGATGCATCACCAGAATACAACAAACCTGAGCAATCCCAAGTAACCAAGGCACTAGAATGTCTCTATACAATGGATACTCCCTCCTCATTGCCTTCAAGAACTGCTGGACACTGCTGCACCAGACCTCTGCTTCATGGACAGCCATTTTGAATTTGGAGACATCTTTTGAGCAAGTTTGGAGTTTATCATTTAGTTCTCTCACGCACTTTAAAGAGCCAAAACTCCCCATGAATAGTTTTAGGTCTTGAAGAATCTTGTCAAACTAAAAATAAAGATGATTGTAACTATGAAACGAGAATAAATATTGTAAGATCCAATTTTTCTACCCTGGTCAGGTCAGGTTTTCAATTTCAGATCGTTTTCAATTTCAGATCTATAAACATTTCGTATTGAAAAAAAGTTGAAAAGAGACCTTTTTACCCTGAGAAGGTCATTGAAGGTGAAATCTCAAGTCTAAAGTGTCAGATTTGAACCTCTGAGAACTTATAGATGATTTTGAAAAAAAGAAATTGGTTGACTTAAAGCAAGATGAAAAAGATTGAGAAGGTCAGATCTTAAATATAAAATCAGATTTGAACTTCTGATAACTTGTAGATGAGTTTGAAAATATTGGTCAATTTGAAGCAAGTTGAAAAAAGACCTCTTTGACCTTAAAAAGGTCATTGAAAGTCAGATCTTAAATATAAAGTCAGATATGAATTTTTGAAAACATGTACATGTAGATGATTTTGAAAAAAATTGAAGGTCTGTCTAAACAGCATTTGTTAAGTTATTGGAAATTGTAAGATTTGATCGCCAACCACCAATCGCCGTAAAAAAATGAAGACCAAATGAAAAATGAGTCAGAAGACTTTATACCTGGGTGGGTTGTAGCCGTATTGGAACTTTATTCTCTAGTGTCAACACTTCCTGTCTGATCACCTCCAGCCTCTGTTTCTTTGCAACAATGCGAGGATGAAGAGACGCATCATCAAAATCCAGCTCTCTGCCTCGAGAAAGTTCTGAATGCCAGTTCCTTACATGAAGTTCATTCTCAATCTCAGCAACCTGGAAATTAATTATAAGGCTACATGCTATGGTACTAGATTTGACTTGACCTGATAAACTGGTGGGATTTATTTTGATTTTGGCGGAATTTGTGTGAAGCTAATATCAATGTGTGTACATCCGATTTAATATGTTTGATTTTATGATTGACTTATAATGTTTGGAGAGGTTGTCTCCTTCAAATGTTGCCCTTTGCAGTTTTTAAGATACACAAAGTTTCAACGAACAAACCTCTTGTTTCAGATAGTTCAGTTGTATCGATTGTCTAACAGCAGGGTCAACTGGGCCTACAGGAGCCAATAGGTATTCTCGTAATAAACCAACTTGACACCAGGCCAGGCCAACATCAAGTATATGACAGAGTTTCTGATTGGCTAGCAACTCATCACACTCAACTGGGATTGGTTGACAGAGGTCCAGACATCCCATCACAAGATGATGAATTTCCTGGGAGACCATCCCTCCAGAAACTTTAGTTTCCAGTGCAATCTTGATTTCATCAAGGACATTTTCGAACATTTCAGACATTTGATTGGTTGATATGAAGTGTTTAAATGCTGATGTCACAGTGTTGTGGGGGAGACCCAATATGGGGACAATTGCATTCAACAGTATTGCAATCTCCTTTATTTGCTGTTTCCTATCAAATTCCCTGAAAGTACATGTAAAAATACACCATATAAAGGCAATTGAAATCTGGAAGTTGCATTATATTGAACCCTGCTGTTGTTTTTGTCAAGGTGCCAGATCATGATGCACAAAGAGCAGGCCTACGGTACTCTTGGCCATCTACTATTAATTCCCTCAGATTTGCATATGGAAAAGTCACACATTAGTAAAATCTCATGCATCTATACTTTTCAAACAACTTACACTGAACTAGCATAGTTTTTCTCAATCCATGGGGCATGCATCCACAAGAGATGGGATAAGTCCTTTAGCTGCTCTACTTTTTCTCTACAATGGCCCAGGGGAACACTAAGAGGCAAATCCAGCCCCTCCTTTTTCTGTTCTTTCCTATCAACCAATAAGGTGAATACAGCCTGAGTTAGGCTTGCAGACAGAGGACTAACATTTTGATGTATCTGAAAAACAATGCAGATCAAGTACAAGCAAATAATATGAGTAAGGACTTATGCTAGTGTTGTTACATTGCTTAAACCATGTATTTTCAAGTCATTGTCATTTAACTTTCAACAATCCAGCAATTTTTTCTGACAAATCCATCAGAATTTAATAGTAACAAACCTGTTGGTCCAATGGTAATTCATCTGGTTTATCCTGGGGTTTCCATAGTAACCATTTCCCCATGTTGGTCATCAAGGGGTTGCTATGACGAATCTGGTAGAAATCCAGTAGGATCTCAGAAGAGCTCCCCTAAAATGTGGAATGAATAGAATTACAGAGATTTATGAACCACTTTGGTGAAGCAGTACATGTATTCAAGTTACAAAAATTGGCACCATTTTGTTGGTCCACATAAGATAAGAACCAAGCACATGATTAAGAAGAGGATTATATAATTCCCTGTTACCTGTAGTCTCCTTCAACAAGAAAATTTGTATTCAACTGTATTGCCATGACAAAGTCCTAGATGTCCGACATAGCAGAAGATAGGACCCTTATAAAAAATTCAACCTTGAAAGTCCGAATTTAAACCGTTTCCACCAATCATTGAATAATGATTGTTTCAACTACCAAGATCAAAGGAAAAACCATTGTACGATGATAAGCAATCATTGTGCAACCATTGTGTTCAACCAAGCGAAGTCAACTCTTTTTCAACGACTGTGCAACCGTTTCAATACAATCATTGTAATCTGCAACCATTGTAAACTGCAACCATTTCACATTGAAATGTAAATGGTTGCAATTTGTTTTGTTCAATGATTACATAGTTCAACCCCTGCAACCATCCTGAATTAGTATCATTCCAAAAAATTATCATTTTACCTGAATTAAAATTATCTTTAAGTAAGGATTTGAATCTACCTCTATTAAACAATAATATATTAGGATATTCTTTCTGCAAGCATACATGCATGTTTATTATAGTAGATAATTTAATTCATGTTAATATGTTTCTTTCTCCAGTACGAATTTAGGAATGCGATACCAGACTAGTTTTCCACTCAATGGCATATGATAATTTATGTTCTCTGTCATTTACATTATTTACACAAATTAAAAGAGTAGTACCATATTTAGTGTTTATTTCCCTTTATCAGATATTGCCAAAATGATGTTAATTATGAAAAGAATTGAGCAAAATTCCAATTTGGTTAAGAAATTGAGCAAGGAACATCTTAAGATTTCCTTTAAACTTAACAAAATCACAAGATGAGACACAATGGTTTTTGTTCATGATCAGACTGACGATCAAAAGAAGTAGGATATGATGTACAAAATAATACAAACATATGTAATCACAAGTTGATTGCTTTATTTAGTGAAAATGTTTTTATAGTAATAATGCATTCAGGCAGCAGAGACTTACTTTTCACAGTTTCAACTGGAAAAAATCTGAATTAATAATTTCAGTAAAATTTTGTCAAGGTAGATGAATTATTGCTACACCCATGATATACAAATAGATTGGTATGGGATCATATTGATGCAGTATGATAGATCGGTATGGGAACATATTGATATCAGAGGGTTTAGCTTAGGACCCCCGCAAAAGTTTATATACAATGAACAGGCCAGTAGCCAGCACCCCCCCCCCAGCAAAATGGGTCTTCAAATGTATCCATATATGTGTAGTTAACACCTAATATCAAATGTATGGCTCACTAGAATTTTAAAAATACAAACAAGAGAACGATTTTGATTCACATTATTCACAACAGATTTAATTATCATGTTCTTTCTTGGCAAATATATTTTATAACAATGCTCAACACAACAATACCTACTACATATTGATATTCTCATGGGTTTAGGCAAATCAGAATGCTTGAACAGCCAATTAAAACGGTTGAACAGCTAATTAAAACGGTTGAACAGCTAATTAAAACGGTTGAACGGCTAATTAAAATGCTTGACCAGAAATCGGGTTCATATTCCTAGTTTCTGTTATATTTATTTTCATATTGTGTTATACTATATATATATTTTTTATTCTCTATTTCATGCAGAGGGGGGGGGGGTAAAAATTTAAAAAGTGTTTTCAGATTTTTGAGGGTTTATTTCTTTATTCAATTACTTTAATAAGTGCTGAAAAATCTCAAATAGCAAGTATATGAAACTGCAAATACTATTTTCAGAATTTTTTACTTCATTTTTATTTAGTTTTTTTTTACCATGGGCATTCAATAAATTGAAAGTTCATGGCTTTACTGTATTCACTAGGGCATAGCATTTGTACTGAAACTTGTTTTCAGTTTAAATGATATGTCTCAATGATTAAAAAATAACAGGGCTTATTTTTAAAACTCTCAACTTGAAAAAATCTGGAAGAAAATATGGGAAATTTTCTTTGGCAAATTATTTATCATGTTCTGTGTATGGAATAATTAAATTACATAGGATGCTTCCTTTATAGCAGACTCTAATCAAACTGTGAGTCTCTCTGTTATAAGGTTTGTTTTGCCTTGCCGAATTATTTTTGTTTTGTTTATGGATTAATGAATTAATAAAGTTTCTTTAGACACATCCTTCAAAGCAGACTCTTATCAAACTAAAGAGACTGAGTCTTTCTGTAATCAGAATTTTTTAAGTTATGCTTATTGACTTAATTATTTAAAACACATCCTGTAATGTCTGATTGCATTTTCTCTATCAAATCAAAAATATCAAATCAATAAACAGATTATTTTCTGATTGAAGGATTTCTTCCTTCCAGACAGATCTTCCCTCCTTTATAATTGTGATAATTACTCAGGTGAAGGTGAAGTATAAGTGTCTGAATTTGTAAAATTCAAGACTTGACCCAATCAAAATTATTTGAAATGTTTTTGCAATAACTTAAAAAGTAGTGAAGGGATTTTGTAAAAATGATTGTCATGACAGCGAGGGGATTTGCTATGCCTTAGCATTGCTGTTATCTAGATAATATACATGTGAGTGGGACAATCACCATCCTTAAAGGTTAGATGGAAATTGGTTCAATATATTTTCATTCACAAGACAAGTTTACTAAACTATTTCAATACTTTAAATATCTTTTTGATCAAAAAAATTTAAATTCTGACATGTATGCATGAAATACATACATTTGAAAAATATATTTTAAAGAGCAATATAATTATTTTATGTTGTATTGAGATAATATTGCCATAGGTTTAAGGGTTGCATTCGATGTAAACGGTTGCAAGAAATTCAATCAAAATTGTCAAGCGTTTACAATGGTTACATATGATTGAAAATTTTCAATGAGTTTACAACCAAAATTGTAATGGTTGCATTGTAACGGTTGACATGGTTGCATAAATGATCGGATCAATGATTGTACAATGATTGTGCAACGGTTTAAATTCGGACTTTCAAGGTTGAATTTTTTATAAGGGATAGGAAAAGATTCAATGACATACCTGATCTGCCCAGGGCATTAGAGCCAATGGGTCTTTGCTGGCAAACTCAACAGCATGACCAATGAACATAGTTTCCATCTGGTCTCTTGTGACTTGATCCTCATTTGACTTCATTATGAGCAAATGTGACTCAGCCAGCTGACTGAAGTAGTAATGAAGAGGCCAGAGTTGTATGGAGGTCACCTGGGCTGGGGAGATACTGAGGGAGTCAGTGGGCTCTGGTTGAGGGTTGTAAAGGTTGTACTTCTGGAGGAGATCTTCCAGCTCACTGATATCATCCTCTACACCTAGAATGAAAGATTAGTTAATATAAAATCATATTTCAATGAGCTCACTATAGAAAGGCTTTAAAAACTTTATCTGCACACAAACTATATCTGAATGAGAATTATTTATCCACTACATAGACTACATTTATATTAGTATATTCAGCAACAAACGGAAGATAAGTTGATGAATGAGAATACACTCAACATGGGGAATAGCAAAACAAATGAACTGTGTGGTGGTTTTAGTATTTCTATACAATTAAGAGTATTCTCTACAAGAATGTTTACTTAATTTCATACTAATTCCACTCTGCAACTCAAGATTGACCCAATGCAGTTCTATTTGGGTGGTGTCTATTTGGAAATAAACTCACCCATGTATGGTGCATCCAAGCCTTGTAGCCGATTCAAAATGTACAGCAGCTTTCTTGTAATGGAAGGTCCCTCTGCTGCCAAACACCTGACCACCTGATGCAAATTAGTTCCAAGATTGCTCTTTAGATGGAAACATTGGAATAGATCTCTTAAGTGGGAGACAATTTCAGCCATCTCTATAGAAGTGAATGGACTGGGGGCATCTATGTTTTCCCAAATAGTCTCAAGTGCTTTCGCTGCTGTGCTATCAATTCCCAATATGCGTTGCAGATGCTCATAAACAGATCGGAAATTGCTCTCGTAATCAGATCTGTAAAATAAGGTACACCTGTACATTGTATTATCATCAACTGCAAATCAAGGCATTTACATACTGTAAGCCCCTTGTGTATGACACAGCTATATGAGATCACTGCATGGATTTCACAAGATATCCCCACTGTAGTGCTGGGGCCCAACCCTCCCAAATATACTGTACTTACATTTTTTGAGGCAGGAGAACTGGGCATGCTCTATCCACAAGATATCCCCAATGTAATGCTAGGACAGGCAGCCAAGTAGATCCACTCTGATGCTTCTCCTGGCAGACAGTTAAGAACCTTGTAGCCCAGAAAAGACCCTCACACACCTACATTTACAATTCACATACAAAACACAATGTAAAATAGAGCAATGCTAAAGGCCAATGGTAGCAAATACTGTCAAACTGAAGGCATTATGTGCAAAAATTCTTCACTGAATCAAATGCCATGTAAAAAGTCAATTCATTTAGACACAATAAATAATCTCACATGTTTTAGTTTTGGAATTTCTTTGCAAGATTTAGAATTTGCAAGAAAGGTGTGTAATTTCCTGGCCAGTCCCTAAATGGAGAGGGGCCATTTGGGATTTTGTCAAGCAATGGTGCAATGCCAACTGAGAAACTTGTCATATGAGGATATTTCAATAAGTTCAAAGATTTCTGACCTGTTTGTAGTGCTGATCTGATACACCAGGCATTGATGATAGATGCAATTCCACTGCTTTGTACCATGTGGTATAGAAGGGCTGCAGATGGGCCACCACTGGATGGGGAAGACTCTCCATTGGCAGCTTGCCTATAACATACAAGAAAGGCTATACTATACAATGAATACAAATCACATAAAACATTAGCACTCAATTGGTACAATTTCTAACTGTAAAAAGAGGACCCAAATCCCTTTGCTCACACAGTGACACATTGTGTTTGGAAAGGATTAACGTTGTACAGAAAAACTCTTTTTGTCCAAATTACATGAGTTAGTTAAACAGTTATGGAGTTACTTTAAAACGATTTTTAATCACAAAACCTCACTGTGCCAGCCAAAAAAGCAAATCCACAGCTTTGCATTATAAGTCATTTTTGCCCATTCATATTTCAAATATATGTAAATAATTTCACCTCAAGGCTACATTCAGATATTTTACCAGTGGCATGATTAGAAATGCATGTAGGTGCAGTTTGATTTATAACTTCACCTAATGTGTCAAGTCTCTTCATGAAAGAAGCAAATAATTATTTTTACTTATTACACATGGATTTAGTACCTAAATGTGCCCCATGTGACAGCTGGAGAAGGCTCAGATTACGACGTGTTTTAGTTGTGATTTCTACCTTTAGATGTCTCTGAAGGAGCATATGACTTTGGGCCAGTTTGCTCAGCAGATGAAGTCTGAAACAAACATTGTAAACAATAATAATTATGATATACACCGATGTATAGTAATAGAGCACAGTTGTTATCAATGTAAAGGTAAGGGAGCATATCAAAAGTTCAATGTAGGATTATTAACTGTATTTGCACAGTTAATCTGTGACCCCCCTCTATAACTGTGTTTGAGAAATGTTGATATGCATTATTTCGAAAGTTACACTATATCTAACATTGAAATCTGTATTTTTACATGTACAGTAGCCCTAGAGCTAATATGCACCAGCACAGAACTGCAGGGTCATTTGAAGTAATATGAAAGGCATTTGGATACATGCAACGCATACTCCAATTTTGTTTGATCATTTTCGTATTCCGACCACATTTTATTAGCCTTGTCAATGATCTTGTAGTTTCGCTCGGAGTTTTTCGATTTGAACCACACCCCATTTACAAACTTCTCGTATTTATTACTGGGTTTAGCAATCGTCCCTCCAATATTAAAAGGTTATATGTCCACTTGTACCATATTCACGGGTAGTATCTAAAGCCCCGCTATGATTTAAAAATCGCGAGCAAGTTCCCGCTGAAATCGCGAGGAATAAAAAGAAGTCATGGGTTCTTTTTGTGTTCTTGAATTGTATGATTTACAAAACGTTTTCTTTTAATTTTTCCCAATGATTACATGGTATTGAGACTAAAAAAGCAACTGCTGGAAAAAATGTATCACGGGCGGTCGTTCTGTGGTTCGTTATTTGTCAATTGAAGAGAGAAAGTATCTTTTTGAATCTTTATCTATATATTTCTATACGTTATTGGTGAAGAACGATGTTGTCCTGTGGTTGAAATAACGATAGTGATATGAAATAAAGATGTACCGAGTTTCACTTCCTAAAGCTTTACAGAACATTTTATATTTAAATTTGATCATATCCCTCAAGGCCCCGCTTCTAGCAGGAGCAATTAAGCAAAGATCCCGCTGAAATCAGGAGGAGGCCCCGCTGAAAACATGAGGAGGTCCCGCTGAAAACAGGAGCAAGTGTCTCTCAAAAATGGAGTGAATCCCGATTATACCCTGAAAATCTCCCACTTTCGTACCCACCTTGATCCACTATTGTACCCAGTTTGTTGAATACATTATTTGTCAATACAATTCTCGATAACAGCAAACACAACTGTTTAATATAATTCATATTATGATACATTGTTATGGAAAACTGCAGTATCATATTTTCATGCCATTTTACAGAATAAGAAAGATCATCTGAGAAATGTGATGAGTATTAGATCGGACAAAATGTTAAACATTTAACCTCATTTTCATAATTTGAAGTAATATAAGATATTCTGTATTCTCTGTATTGCAACTGTCCCCTCTGTTCCATCTTTGAGTACAAGTCGATATTCAGTAAGATACACGTATAAGCGTGCGTTTAGGTCAACCTAAAATGATTTAGTCAGAATAATGTTTATGAATATTATTCCTATATCAATCTCCTGTTGCTTACTTGCTTGCTCGCTTCCTCCCTTCCTTGCTTCTTCGCTTCCTTCCTTCCTTGCTTCCTGGCTTCCTTCCTCGCTTCCTCACATCCTTCCTTCCTCGCTTCCTTCCATCCTTGCTTCCTTCCTTCCTCGCTTCTTTCCTTCTTTGCTTCATTCCTTCCTTGCTTCCTCACTTCATTCCTTCGCTTCCTCCCTTCCTTGCTTCCTTCCTTCCTCACTTCCCTCCTTTATTTCTTGCTTCCTTCCTTGCTTCCCTCCTCGCTTCCTTCCTCGCTTCCTCCCTTCCTTGCTTCCTCGTATTCTTGCATCCTTCCTTCCTCGCTTCCTTCCTTCCATCCTTGCTTCCTTCCTTCCTTTCTTGTATCCTCCCTTCCTTGCTTCCTCACTTCCTTCCTTCTTCGCTTCTTCGCTTCATTGCATCCTTCCTTCGGTCCTTCCTCGCTTCCTTCCTTCCGTCCTTCCTTCATTGCTTCCTCGCTTACTTCCTTCCTCGCATCCTTCCTTCCTTGCTTCCTCCTTTCCTTGCTTCCTCCCTTCCTTGCTTCTTTCCCTCATTGCTTCCTCGCTTCCTGACTTCCTTCCTTCCTTGCTTCCTCGCTTCTTTCCTTTCTCGCTTCCTTCCTTCCTTGCTTCTTTCCTTCCTCGCTTCCTACCTTCCTTTCTTCCTCGCCTCCTTTTCTTGCTTCCTTCCTTCTTTGCTTCCTTCCTTCCTCGCATCTTTCCTTCCTCGCTTGCTTCCCACCTTGCTTCCTCGCTTCCTTCCTCCCTCGCTTCATTCCTTCCTTGCTTCCTCGCCTCTCTCTTTCATCACTTCCTTCCTTCCCTCCTTGCTTCATTCCTTCCTTCCTTCCTCGCCCCTTCTTTTCTTGCTTCCTTCCTTCCTTGCTTCCTCGCTTCCTCCCGTCCTCGCATCTTTCCTTCCTCGCTTCCTTCCTACCTTGCTTCCTCGCTTCCTTCCTTCCTTCCTCACTTCCTTCCTTCCTCGCATCTTTCCTTCCATGCTTTTTTCCTTCCTCGCTCCCTTCTTTCTTCCTTTGTTTCCTCGCTTTCTTCATAAATTTCTTCCTCACTTCCTTTCCTCCTTCCTTCCTTGCTTCATTCCTTCCTTCCATGCTTCCTCGCTTGCTTTCTTCCTGGCTTCCTCGCTTCCTTCTTTCCTTCCTTCCTTCCTTCCTCGCTTCCTTCCTTCCTCACTTCCTTCCTTCCTCACTTCCCTCCTTCATTCCTTGCTTCCTCCCTTCCTCACTTCCTTCTTTCCTCTTTCCTTGCTTCCTCGTTCCCTTCATTCTTTCCTCGCGTTGTTCTTTTGTCGCTTCATTCCTTCCTTGCTTCCTTCCCTCCTTGCTTTCTCGCCTTCTTTCCTTACTTACTTCCTTCCTTGCTTTTTTCCTTCCTTCCTTTCTTGCGTCTTTGCTTGCTTCCTTCCTTCCTTGATTCATCGTTTCCTTCCTTCTTTGCTTCCTGGCTTCCTTTCTTCCTCGTTCCCTTCCTTGCTTCCTCAGTTCCTTCCTTCCTTCCTCGCATCGTTCCTTCCTTGTTCCCTCGCTTCCGTCCTTTCTTTCTTCCTCAGTTCCTTCCTTCCTTGCTTCCTCACTTTCTTCCCTCCTCGCTTTCTCGTTTCCTTGCTTCCTTCCTTCCTTCTTTGCTTCCTTGCGTCCTTCCTTCCTCGGAATCTTTCCTTCCTCACTTCCTACCTTGCTTCCTCGCTTCCTTCTTTCCTCGTTTCCCTCTTTCCTTCCTTGCTTTTTTTCCTTCCTCGCTCCCTTCTTTCCCCCTTCTTTGCTTCCTCGCTTCCTTCACAAATTTCTTCCTCACTTCCTTCCTTTCTTCCTTCCTTCCTTGCTTTATTGCTTCTCTCCTTCCCTCCTTCCTTCCTTTTTTCCTTCCTTGCTTACTTATATTACTCCCACCTTCACTTCTTCGATTTACTTCCTCCATCCCTTCTTTACTTGCTTGCTAACTCAATTACTTACTTCGTTGCTTGTTGACTTCCTCACATCCTTGCTTGCTTTCTTGATTATTTACATTCTTTCATATGGCAGTGGAAAGACAAATTTTGATGAAAACCTGCAAACCAACAAACGAACGAGGAAAGAACGCAAGGATGGACAGAAGAACAGCCGAAAAAACAATGAATGAACAAACGGACGGATAGGCGGCCAAAAGAACGCATGAAGGAAAGATAGAAGAAAACAATTTACAAAAGATCGAACCCACGCACGCAAGAACGTAGTTACAAACGAACGCACGAATGAACGCACGAACGAACGAACACACAAACGAACGCAAAAAGAACGAACAGACGAACGCACGCATGAATGGACGGTTGAACGAAAGCATGCACGGACGAACGGACGGCTAGACGGACGAACCCACGAACGAAAGGGCAGTCAGACGAAAGCAAGCACAAACGGACGGTCAGACGAACGCATTCGCACACAAACGGACGGACAATCGCACGGATGCACGCACGAACGAACGAATGGACGGTCGGACGAACGCTGCCACGAACGCATGATTGGGCGATGCACGCTCGAACGATCAATCTGTCGGATGAACGCACGCATGAACGAACGGACCGTCGGACGAACGCACGCACGAACGAACGGTCGGACAAAGAAACCAATGAAATATATTTGTCCTCAGAAGTATAATCCTTGGAATAGTTAATTATGTAGAATGTACATTTAACTCCGAAATGTACAAAGTCTATTTACTTATAAAAATTTGATCATGCCGCTGACAGATGGATTAGACTGCCTGAAGTTGAAGAAGAAATATTTTTGATGTTGCCATAGAATGATATGTTATGTGATTGTCATTAATACGTTATTTGCACATTCGTGTACGTTCATATAAAGAAGCTCACTATATTCATGGAATAATGATGAAGCTTTCCTCATGATCGAAGCGGGTAGTCGTGAAATTTGCTCGTGTTTTCAGCGGGGTCTCCTCATGTTTTCAGCGGGGCCTCCTCATTTTTTCAGCGGGGCCACTGGAACACCTTTAATGATGTATTTCGACCCCCATGGCAGGTGTCATTGTCCAGTAACTTATCAATACAGACCATCTTGATCCGATATTTATTATGGAGTATGTAAATCGTATTTATTGCCTTTATTTTAACGATAAAGGTAATATATGAACAGTAAATTATGCAAACGTGCATGTTGACGCCCCTTTCCTTCATGCAAGTAAAAAATAATCATTTTTCATGTCATTTTTTGTCAAATATATCTGTTTTTAAAGTTTTGCTGGAGTATCAAAGAACGGTAATAAGTATTTTCATCCTTTTGGTTCATTTTCCAAAGTGATACAAATAAACAGGACTATGCTCGCGATTTCAGCGGGGACTTGCTCGCGATTTTTCAATCATAGCGGGGCTTTAGATATTACCCGTGATATTTGAGAAAACAGAGAACAAACATTTAGGTTCCTCTATCTTTGTGATACAATAAAGTAGAATTTTGACATGAATGCTTATGCATCATATACGAGGGGCATTTGAAAAGTTCGTTTCTTTTTGCTCTAATTTTTTTAATTTTACTCATTCATTTATGATACTTTCAGCATATGTTCCATATACATATATCTTGAGTTTACATCAATATAAATATGATAAGGAAGTGAACTTTTGGTTGCCATGGTAACAGCGAGACTTGGTTCCATGGAGCACCTTAAAAATTCAATGCATGAAACATGCATTCAATGAAAAAACTTAATATGTTCTTTTGAAAATGACAGTTATTTGTTTAAAATGTGTTGTCATAGCAAAACGCTAGTGGTGTAATAGTGTTCTACAGATGAATGGACTCACTGTGCTGTCAGTGTAATGTCATAAACCTCCGTCAAAATAGGCCCACTCTCTTCACTAAAATTTTGGTGGAGCAGGTGTTTCCAAACAGTGGAGCAAAATGGTGAATGAACTTATCAAAGAGCAGAGACTTTGCATTAAACAAGAACAAGAAAAAGACTTAAATGACACAGTAAGAACAGGTAAAGCAACATATGAAGACATTTGTTGTTCCTATTCCATGATAAGAAGCTGGTTCAACATGCTCAAGAAAGGCATCTCAACCATCAAAGATGAGCCAAGAAGCGGGTAAAAAGGACAGCGATATTGAAAGAAAACATGAATTTAGTGAAGACAATAATTGAACAGGTAAATGTCTATATGGATTGGATAGGGAGGTTTAGAAAGTGCATTCTATTTGGGGGAGAATACTTCGAAAGAGATAGAGAGCCCTGAATTAGTCCTACTGGCTTAATGTTGTGGCAATGATAAGATAGAAGGCCCATAGACTGCACATTATGGTTGGATATACAGTATTGATTGTGACGTAAAAGTATCCACATTCAAATTGCTCCACGATATCGAGACAAGTATATTTCTAACGGATGTAAAACTGTGGCTATACTATATTACATGCTATAATTTTCACAGCTTAATAATAAATATTCAGACTATACATCCTGCAAATTTTGTCTTGTTCCGATTATTCCTGGTATTTTTAGAGCAAAAAGAAACGAGAGATAGAACATTTTATTACCCTGGAATACAGTGCTTGTCAATTAGATGAAGCTATATTTACAGAAGCAAGCCACACTATTGCGAACCGTAACCTTTTATCTATCCAGATCGACCTTGACAAGTCATTATAACATTTTAAGACATTCTGTTACAAAAAGTAGGTGCCATATTTCTGTAAAATCCAGGCGTGCCTGCAAAGGAATAGACCACACATCTTGTAATGCTCGTAAAGGTGCATCTAATTCACCTAGTAATCTAAAATTTCTGCTTCTGCTGCTCCATGGAGTAAAGTTTTACTATGCAAAAGAACAAGTCAGAATTTATGCAGATAAAAAAGTTATGCAACATTATGTGGGTGGGTAGAGATAGAAGCATGTAGCAGTAATTACACAGGGAGATATGCGGAGTACTAAAATAGTACTCATGGCATTTTAGCGCTAATTGAGTACTCATTTCAGCAAATTAATATTATATGAAGGACATAGAACCTTATTGCATTAAAAATCTCCTATTTCTGTTGGAGATAAGGCTTTATAACCTTAATCTTTGGAAAGGGCATGGTGAATTTAGGGGGAATCCACTTTCACATGCATTTGACTCATATTGGTAGTTAGAACCTTATAATAGTGAAGGGACGAATTATATATTGGCTTCAAAAACTCATTTTTAGTAAGATTTAAATCATACCGGAAGTGTAACGGAGGAGAAGAGCATCACTAATTGAATTCCCGGGAAAGATGTCAGAATGCTAACTCTTTAAGCCAATGACCCCCTCCTCCCCTGTGTAAATACAGTTATTTTTCGGATATCGAACTTTTGATATGCTCCCTAATACAAGGCATTAACAAAAAACACAATTGCCATCAATGAAAGCAACCCAGCCAGGTTTCACTTATGTACTCACTTCTGTATACTTTTTAAAATCTCGATTGATAGATATTATTTCTACCAGATTTCGAGCTACCGAGTGGGGGTCGACTTTTGACTCAACTATCGATCTTATCTGTTTACCTAATCTTTCAAATGAGGGTTATCATTTATAATATCAATAGGCTATCCTATTGCTTTAATAGCTTTATTGCATGGTAACTATCTCAAACTAACACCAAATGACAACATGTTGCTAGAATCTTCATAAAACAGATTATATAATGTTGGTTCACTGCTAGTTGCAATATTTTCTAGTGAATACACACTTGAAATTTTAGTAAAAGGCAATTTTATTCAGTATTTAACTTTAATGAAGAAATAATTCCCATCTAATTATCTGCCCTAAAAGTTTATTGCCATTTCAAGGGTTGTTTTTGAAATCCATTAATACTCAATAATAATTGATCTTAGGACAGAAATGGAAAACTATATTTCTTGCTACAATTGACAACCATATGCAACCAGAGCCCTGTAAAATAAATTGCAATGAAATACTTACAGTATATAGATAAAATGGTCTTCTCTTCAACATACATGTGCCTGTGTGCTATACCTAATTGTTGATATGTCGAATGGAAAGCTGACATTGAATATTTTTCAGTTTGACTGCAATATATGTTATGATTGTATATTCTGTGTAATCTCTGGTGTAATGGAATAAAACAGTCTGTATTTGTTAACCAAGAAAATCAATGTGATAGTGCATTTTATCCCATGTCCCATAAATTGAGCCTCTTATCATTAAATTAAATTCTAGTTTAGAGTGACACTTTAATTCTCAGATGTCTAACAACATTGTGCTGGAATAATGGACCTCTACTAAACATACGCCTTCAACACATAAACAACTACATAGTAAATGATTCTTACTTGAATTTGCTATTTTATGGCAATGCCCTTTTTCCATGCATAAAGTGCAATTTAAATAGAGGCCATCTTAAAAATTTCTTCTTGAACAGAGTTCCTTTGCCTAAAATTTGAACCAAATCTGTCCACTAGTACAGGGTGGGCCAAAAAATGTAATAACTTACCGTAATCGCCGTATTAAGGGCCCACCCCTAATAAGCGCCGACTCCGCTTCACAGAGTTCAAGAAATATCAAGGAATGACCACATATTAAAGAGTATATCAGAAAAAATCAAAGTGGGCGATAATAGAGTACTTACACTAAAATGCAGAAAACATGACGCATTTTGTAAATCGATGCATCCTCCCGATAAATATATATCAGTGGGTGCTTCCCACATCATACTAAGCTAATATTATCTCAAAATAGTCCATAATGAATGAAGGAAATTATCACGTTTCAGAGTTCTGTTTCGACATTTTACTAATTTAATGAT